CTAGTACATAAATGCATATATGCATACAAACAAATCGATAAACAGCTTGAAGATATCAGCAAAGCTTTTATTTAATGAGACATTTTAATGTTTTTTGCTTTGCAAAAATTCGCCGTTCCGGAATTGGACAGAAATCCTTGGTGCTTGTTTTGCTTCTTTCTCATTCCAGCTTTGACGAATTCAAAATTGTTCCTGTCAAATAGCTCTAGGACACGAACCCAGGAAAACGAAGCTGCATCTGTCGGAGGAGCGCCAAACAAGAACAGCAAGGCCTAAGAAACATCAGGGGTAGCACTTGGTCACGCAACCAAGGCAACGAAATTCTATTGTTAAACCAATTTGGCCCGGCAACTTCAGAGGACTGGAGCTTGAATTTCTGTTGTTGCGTTTCATTAAAATCTTGTAAATTGTAGCGTCTAACTGCTCATTTTTGCGGCATCTTCAAGCCGGGTCAAAAATATGCTCAATACAATGACCAGAAATAAGTTCACAACGTACTTGTCGAAAATATCATCACCTGGTGCCGCAGCGCAGTTGGCACCAAAATAGCAAGGCACATGCAACAAGAACGCCGAAGCTGTCGCAAGTGGCGTTGACAATGTTTGAAGACTAGAACTTGCGACAGCATCCACCTATACCCGTTGGGGTTACGAAGGTCACCCGGATGGACGCTTGGAGCTAAGTTCACCGAGCATATTGGGAGCGGCATGGAATAAAGCCCGCATACCACAACGATCAAACATCACAGAACAGAAGATCCAAATTAAACGCATCCCTTGTGTGCTTGCCTGATCACCTGGAACGAGCCAATTTATTGGCTCACATGCTCGGTATTGCTTAGGGATTCAGGTGAAAGATTTGAACCAAAATCTGCCGGACAAGACTGGCGCACCCCGAGCACCATTCACCACGTTGCTTGTTCAGTTCATCAATATGAAGCAGCATGCTTTGGAACGCAGATGCTGGCTGACGAATACATGTGGGATCACATCTCAACCACTGAGGCTCATTTAGATTTACTTTCTGAATCCAAGGGTTTTGCTATGGCACATGGTTCACGACAAAGTCGAAAGCTGGGGCGTAAGCAATGCTCGGAAGGCAGCGCACATGCAAGTACAACTGCAGGATGGAAAGGAAACTCAAAAGGACAACCTTGGGGAGGGCGAAAGCTATGTCTTCAAGTCACGATTGTAGTAAATTGTGCGCACCATGGCCGGTAGCGGTGGGCATTGTGTGGTAGACTCTGGCGTAGAAATGGGCTGGCCAGGACTGGGGACCGAGGGTCTAGTGTGGGCTGCAAAGGCTGGTACTGATGGTGGGAACGTAGGGATTTCGAAACGATTGGTCGAAGGCGTCGTTGGGAAAATTTGGTGTGAAAGTGGTACACCATGAGGTGGGTTGGTAGTATGTTGGAATGTTGCTGGTGAAGGAGAGCTGGAAGTATTCGACGTTGAGGTTGTAGTAGGCCATGACGATTGCAACGCCGAAGGGTGTCCAAAAAGATGGTCGGTAGATTCTGGTGTCAACGTCGGACAGGCGGGTGGAGCCGATTGGTAGTGTGGTTGGTCGTGTTGGTGGCCTGGATAATGGCGTACTTGAGGTGGAATGGAAGTCGATGGAGGAGTTGACCAAGTAAAGGATAGGTGCCTAGTGATCGTTGCTGGAGGTGCCGTTGGTGGCCACGTCGGTGCTGTAGGTGAAGAACTCGAGGAAGGTGGCCAGGATGCCAAGGGAACATAGCTCGAAGTGAATTGATCAAACAGTGAGAAACCAACTTCAACCCAGGACTCGGTTCAAACTACCATGAAATTGTGCGTTACTCCCTTCGGGAACGTGGTCCAGTCGCGCCCGAAGGCATGAAACAGCTGTACGAGTTCCAACGAATTAGGTGCACAATATGTTTAACCTCACCAGAGAACCATCAAAAGAAAAAGACCACACCTGGAAAGCGTGTGCCTGCCTGTAACATCGTTCATGGTAGTAGTAGTAAGTCTTTCAGCGCATGCACCGCCGCCAAGAAGACGGCCCATGGACCGCTGCAGCGCTACGCGCTGCCCGCAAGATCTTCAGCAGCAGCTACCGCAGCGCCGAGCGCAGCCGCTGAATTGCCAGAATGCACACAGTCACAAAGTGCAAGCTAGACTTTTCCTAAGTACCTCAAGACGTCCTCATTGTTGTCCCACCCAAACCGCCAACTAATGGCCTTAGTAGGGACAGGGGGTTTCTGCTTGGCCAACGGATTCTCAATACATTCCCATGCCAAGTGTTTCCAGTGTCCCAGGTTACTATTACACCAAGGACAAGTTTCTTGCCGCCATGCAGGACTCACAGAAGCCCCTAAAGCAACCGTCCGACAGCCGGCGTTAGCAGCACACGCTTTTCGGATTTTGTTCCAGTCAAGATCCCAAAAGATCTCTGGCTTGAGTATGTTGCAAATCCTGCAGTTCATGGCGGTGGCCATGCAGAAATTGGTCCCAAACCCACAAACACCACCCATCACGGATGCAGTGTTGAGCCCAAGCTAAATCAAATCGCCTTTCAGCAAATTGAATGTTCAGACGAGAAAATTCATGCTTCCATTCCCATGGAGAATGTTCCACCCAGCCTTTATCGCGCAGCCAGTTTCTGAGCGCCGCAACTGGAGAGCCGGCATGACGGCTCCAGGTAGCTTGGCCTTTTTTCCACAAAAGAAATGTGACCCGAAACAAGTTGTTGGCCGTGAGCACATCGAGATGGCAAAGGCCACCGTGTACCATAGCACGAGTCCATTTGTTTGCAGCCTTGGTCACCCTTTGCCCAACCTTAAGGGCAGCCCAAATTTTATTGGACAAGGTCTGCGTAGGCAGTCTTGCCAACCAGCCGTAGTTGGCTTTTCCAAGAGCAATGCAGCGTGCATAGGCAGAAAAAAGTTCCGGTTTCAATCTGAGCACGCCAAGGAGATTCATGGCGTCAGCCGCAGCTTTGATCCTACTGTTCTCCTTTTCCACATTCTGGCATCTGTTGCCACGAGTGGCACAACCCAGGAAAACGACATCAGTGGTAAAGAGATCAGGCAACGCGTCTCTCAGATCCGCTTTGTTCTTTTTAGACTTGGCGGTGCGCTGAGCTGTGTTGCTCTCTTTGAGCCCAACCAAGGTGGACCACTGCTTCCACGTGTTAATGCAGTCCACATCGTTCATGGTCATGTTTCACTTCAAAAGCTAGAGCTGCAGCAGTAAAAATGGGGTTTCTGGTTGTTCGGTCCGGCTTCACTCTGAAAAGAATGCATTCTCAAGGGATCTCAAGGGACAGCCGGATCGGCGGGACATCTCAAAAAGGCGCATAACCGGAAGGACAAATGTTTCGCACTACTTAAACAAATTACCAAGTTAAAGTGTGTGTGAATTCGGAAATCAAGTCTGTCCTCAGTCACCCACAAAGGGGTTGCCTCCAATGGCTCCATGGCACCATGTCGGAGCCACCGTGGATATTGCACTAGACAAGAAAGGATCTTTGAATAGATCCGTCAGGAACTGAGTCCTGTAACATGCAAACCAGCCTAGACAATTAGACCTAAAGTAGATCCCCTGGTAGTACTTCTCGAAAACGATGTAGGTCTTCCAATAATGTCAAACGTAGTCGGAACCAGACATCAAAAAATGAATAGGATCGCCATGTTGATAACAGAAAATAGGTACCAGATTGCGACAACCGTGAAGCGAAAATGTAAAAGCGTCTGTGTGTAAAAGCGTTTGTGTGTAAAAGCGTCTGTGTGTAAAAGTGTCTGTGTACGCGTCTGTGTCTAAAAGCCTCAATGTGTGTGAAAGTGTGCGTGTGTACAAGAAAAGCGCGTGTGTGTGTGTGTGTGTAGAAGCTTCTTTGAGTAAAAGTCTCGGTGTAAGCGTCTGCGTGTAAAAGCCTCTGTCTGTGAAAGTGTGTGTGTGTGTGTGTGTACCATCTGAATAGATGTAAAACTTCTATTATTTGCAGGGGGCCACCGGGGTCCCGGGGGGGTCGGTGGCCAACGAAGACACCCCCCCGGGACCCGTGTAAACGTACCTGCATGCAGTGGCCCTGGACGGCAACCCCTTCAGTGGGGGCCGTAGCTGGGCACTGCAGTGACAGTCCCTGGGCGCCGTCGTGCGCAGCTGGGATGTCACAATATATTTATATATATATACACGTTAGGTCATCAAACCATTCCTGTTAGGTTTAACTGAGTTGTCTTTGCACGTCCGATGCATTCCACATCAGTAATTCGATGACATTTCTGAGCAAGTGTGTCATTCCTGCTGCCTACGTCAAGTTGGCAGGAACCCTTCGGGGAAAGCCTTAGGCTAACAATTGACAGTAAAACGATGTCGATTTACACTTTTGAATTAGTAATTCGTCTAAGTAAAGTGAACTGCCGGCCTTTTTCCTGGTCTCACTTGCCGATGTCGATTGGTTGAACAACTGGCCGCAGTACCGGGCTTCCTTCTCCTTTTTGCTGATTTGCATTTGTCGATGTCGATTGGTTGAACAACTGGCCGCTGTACCGGGCCTCCTTCTCGTTTTCGCTGATTTGCATAGTTGGAAGCCACGACAACAATCGTTCCGTTCTTTCTCAAGAGACTGTCCGCAGCCATTTACATGAAATTCCAGGTAACAGGACATCCTTGCAGGTATGGTGCTTCTTTCCTTTTATGGTCGTTGGTGAGGTTCAATTGTGCATGTAATTCATTTGAACACTGACAGCCGTCGATGGGGTTGACTTGAATACCGAGGGCCTTTGAGCCTTATCACGAATCTTGCATGGATCGTGGTTGCATCATTTTTCTAACTAGTCCCCCATGGGTCCCTTTTCTCATGTGTTTCTGCGTTCTCCTCTCTTCAGGTAGGTTGGGTCCTGCGCGTGCCGAGGTAGGCTTAGGTTCGCTTTGTTAGGTTGGTTCAGGCGCTTCCGTCCTCCCCCTCCTCCGCTGGTCTGGGTCCGTGTCCGTCGGCCTCCGCTTTTTCTTTTTCCTTGCCTTTCCGGGGTTTTTGCCCGTTTCGGGCTAGGTGTGTCGTGTTGGTGTTTGCTCTTTCCCTCTTCTCTTGCGTTCCCCTCTTCGCGTCCTGGTTAGGTATTTTTCATTCCATTTTCACTTTCATGTCATTTTCATCGTCATCTCATCTGCCCCGCTGTTGCGGGGCGTGTGTGTGTGTACCATCTGAATAGATGTAAAACTTCTATTATTTGCAGGGGGCCACCGGGGTCCCGGGGGGGTCGGTGGCCAACGAAGACACCCCCCCGGGACCCGTGTAAACGTACCTGCATGCAGTGGCCCTGGACGGCAACCCCTTCAGTGGGGGCCGTAGCTGGGCACTGCAGTGACAGTCCCTGGGCGCCGTCGTGCGCAGCTGGGATGTCACAATATATTTATATATATATATACACGTTAGGTCATCAAACCATTCCTGTTAGGTTTAACTGAGTTGTCTTTGCACGTCCGATGCATTCCACATCAATAATTCGATAAGACATTTCTGAGCAAGTGTGTGTGTAAAAGAAAAACGTGTGTGTGTAAAAGCTTCTGTGGGTAAAAGTTTCCGTGTGTAAAAGTGTCTGTGTGTAAAAGCGTCTGTGTGTGTGTGTAAAAGCCACTGTGTGTAAAGGCGTCTGTGTGTAAAAGCGTTTGTGTGTGAAAGTGTGTGTGAGTGTGTGTGTGTGTGACACATCTGAAAAGATGTAAAACTTCTGATTTCATTGTCCTATTTATTTTCTGGAAACGTTCGTTGACATACATCATCCTATTAATTCGCAGGGGGGCACAGCTTTTACACACAGACGCTTTTACACACAGAGGCTTTTACACACAGACACTTTTACACACAAACACTTTCCATTTCGCCCGAAATGGTTGCGTTTTGTGGCGCTCCGGCGGCACCGCCCCCGCCTTAAGAGAGAGATAGAAAGAAGAGCGGGAGAAAGAAAGGAAGAGAGAGAGAGAAGATCTGCAGATGTGAAGGTGCGAGGAAGCAGATCTGCAGATGTGAAGGTGTGAAGATGTAGATCTGCAGATGTGAAGGTGTGAAGATGTAGATCTGCAGATGTGAGGGTGTGAAGATGTAGATCCGCAGATGTATTACAACGGCTGCTTTTTTACGAAGAACCCTTCGCAGGCGCTCTCGGGAAAAATGCTCGGTACCATGATGGTGAAGGACACATGTTATATGACTTTACTATGTATTTTCCATCAAAGTTGACAAAAAAGCTTGGTACCATCACCCTGTCAATGTCACATGCTTTCTCTTCTTACTATGTAAATTCCCACACAAATTACCAAAAAAGCTCGGTACCATGATGCTGTGTATGACAGAGGGCACACTACTTTACTATGGAAAAGTCCACAAAAGTACACAAAAAACAGTCGATGCCATGATGCTGTGACCGACATACATTCTGTGACCCTTGCTATAAAACTTCACACAAACGCATACAAAAAAAGCTCGTTACCATGATGCGGTGACTGACGCATATTATATTACCTGACAATGAATTTTCCATAAAAGTTGACAAAAAAGCTTGGTACCATCACCCGGTCAATGTCACATGCTTTCTCTTCTTACTATGTAAATTCCCACACAAATTACCAAAAAAGCTCGCTACCATGATGCGGTGACTGACGCATATTATATTTCCTGACAATGAATTTTCCATAAAAGTTGACAGAAAAAGCTTGGTACCATCACCCCGTCAATGTCACATGCTTTCTCTTCTTGCTATGTAAATTCCCACACAAATTACCAAAAAAGCTCGGTACCATGATGCTGTGTATGACAGATGGCACACTACTTTACTATGGAAAAGCCCACAAACGTACACAAAAAACACTCGATGCCATGATGCTGTGACCGACATAGATTCAGGAAAAGTCCACAAAAGTATACAAAAACACTCGATGCCATGATGCTGTGACCGACAAATATTCTGTGAATCTTGCTTTAAAACTTCACACAAACGCATACAAAAAAAAGCTCGTTACCATGATGCGGTGACTGACACATATATGACTTTAGTATGTATTTTCCATCAAAGTTGACAAAAAAGCTTGGCACCATCACCCTGTCAATGTCACATGCTTTCTCTTTTTTACTATGTAAATTCCCACGCAAATTACCAAAAAAGCTCGGTACCATGATGCTGTGTATGACAAATGGCACACTACTTTACTACGGAAAAGTCCGATTCGCTTCAACATCCAGTTGAATGCCGCTCGCACAGAGAACGCGGTTGCAAAAACTCTATGCTTGATTTGGAACAATCAGAAAACACAATCTCCAAAGAATGAATGCAAGACCATATCCAGAGAAACAGAGCATGGAACAATCACAAAACACAATCTCCAAAGAATGAACACAAGACCATATCCACAGAAGAAAGATGTCGACAGTATTGCTTTGAATACATCTCTGCATCCACTCCAAAATCGCAATTTTACCTCAATTTTTGACGTCCAACGTCAATTTCGTGCGAAAGGTTACAATGGACACCTCAATCGCAATTTTACCTCAGTTTTTGACGTCCAACGTCCATTTCGCGCGTAAGGGTTGCGATTGACACCTCAAAAAATCGTAATTTTACATCAGTTTTTGACGTCCAACGTCCATTTCGTGCGAAAAGGTTGCGTTTCGTGGCGCTCCGGCGGCACCGCCCCCGCCTTAAGAGAGAGAGATAGAAAGAAGAGCGAGAGAAGATCTGCAGATGTGAAGGTGTGAAGATGTAGATCTGCAGATGTGCAGGGTGTGAAGATGTAGATCAGCAGATGTGAAGGTGTGAAGATGTAGATCAGCAGATGTGAGGGTGTGAAGATGTAGATGAGCAGATGTGAGGGTGTGAAGATGTAGATCTGCAGATGTGAAGGTGTGAAGATGTAGATCTGCAGATGTCAAGGTGTGAAGATGTAGATCTGCAGATGTGCAGGGTGTGAAGATGTAGATCAGCAGATGTGAAGGTGTGAAGATGTAGATCAGCAGATGTGAGGGTGTGAAGATGTAGATGAGCAGATGTGAGGGTGTGAAGATGTAGATCAGCAGATGTGAAGGTGTGAAGATGTAGATCAGCAGATGTGAAGGTGTGAAGACGTAGATCAGCAGATGTGAGGGTGTGAAGATGTATTATAACGGCTGTTTTTTTACGAAGAACCCTTCGCAGGCGCTCTCGGGAAAAACAATTGCTGGAAGTGTGGCTCTAGGTGAAATGGGACTTGGGATTGGAATGCAACTGCTACTGAACCTTCCGTGCTTCCAAGCCAAAACCAATTGTTTCCCTTGGGAGTGGAAAGTTGCATACGGACAAAAAAATTCAACAAGCAAAATCTGCCAAACCAAAAGTCCCTTGCAAATGTGGTATGACCGCCTCAGGATCCAAATCGCACCTGCGGAATCTTGATGCATTATGTTCAACCATGGCAGTTCTATGCCCCGTCATGCTCTGGGCCTGCAACTTCTGGCCCCGGCCCTGCCTCTCCAACAATGTCCCCTTGCGCTGTGTCGAGAATTATGGCAATGCCGGCACTGAGTTGAAACCTAGAACGAGTGCCATCCATGTCAGGAGTCTGTTGCAAGAAAGCCTTTAAGGGCACATGCCAAACATCTTGACATGAAAGTACAGGTGCAAACACCAAACTTTGGCACTGAATCTGTGTTCATCACCGGTCTATGATACCATGTCTCCGCCACATGATCAAAACACCTGGAACGCCGAAAACACCGAAAATCACAAGACTCCTAGAAATAATTGGGGCTTTGAAGTTCCAGGTGCAAACATGGAAAAAATTATCCCGGCAAGAGACCCCAAACAGTGCGGGGGGAGCGGGCGGATAATGTATTATAATGTTGTTGTTGTTGTTGATGATGGTGATGATGTTGGTGATGATGATGATGATGATGTGCAGGAGGATGATGTTGAGGATGATGATGTTGAGGATGATGAGGTGCAGGAGGATGATGTTGAGGATGATGAGGTTGAGGAAGATGATGTTGAGGATGTTGATGGTGAGGATGATGGTGTTTAGGAGGATGAGAATGAGGATGATAATGCGGAAGATGAAGTGGAGGATGACAATGCTGAGGATGAAGATGCTGAGAAGGATGATGATGATGATGATGATGATGATTATGATGATGATGTTGAGGACGTTGATGGTGAGGATGATGATGATGGTGGTGATGATGATAATGTTGAGAATGCTGATGTTGAGGGGATGATGATGTGGGGAATGATAATTTTGAGGAAATGCACTTCAACATGTCACAAGAGCCTCTTAATACGGAAATTTACAGGAAAAATGCTGCGCCCCAGATGAGCCCAGAACGCGGACACACACTTTGTGCGAGCCTGCGCAGTCGAAATGCACTTGAACTTTTCACAAAAGCCCCTCTTTACGGAAATGTGCAGGAAAACTGCCGCGCCCCAAATTGAGCCCAGAACGCGGGCACGCACTTTGTGCGAGCTTGCGCTGTCGAAATGCAGTTGATCATTTCATAAGAGCCACTTTATACGGAAATGTACTGGGAAATGCCGCGCCCCAAACCCGCGGCCCACATTTTGTGCGAGCCCGCGCAGTGGAAAGTCAACATTTCGCAAGAGCCACTTTATATGGAATTTTAGAGGAAAAATGCTCCGCCCCAGAAGCGGGACCCACACTTTGTGCGAGCCTGCGCACTCGAAATGCACATCAACATTTGAGAAGGGCAACTTTATACGGAAATTTATAGGAAAAATGGTCGAGACCAGAGTGAGCACCCTGATCAAGCACCGGCCTTTACACCTACTGCAAGAACCCCTCAGTGTGGGCACGCTGTTTGGGGAACCAGCAACATGGAAAATGCAACGCGCACTTGCGAATCGAAATGTAATTAAGTGATTCGGAAGCAACTTTGCTCACACTTGTTCACACAGAAGCCATGATCGTGAGCTCGGCTCAGAGGTGGCCGTTAGCACTACCATAAGATATCCTTAAGCGTGACCACACAGTAAATGGACCATCGCATTTTCGGATCATGTCGGCCATTGACCCTTGAACAAATTCCGGGAAGATCTGCGCGTACCACTGTCGTCTACGACTGCCTACATTTCTGAGCCCGAGACTCTCCGCAAAGATCGCGACCGATGACGCTGTTGATCGGCGTGGGGAAGGCGCGGAGCCTTGAAGCTTCATGTTGGTTTGCCAGATTTTGCAGCTGGCACATCACTTCACATCGCTTCACTTTCTACTGGAACATGGCCGGCCTACACGTACATGCCTTGAGGCTTGGAGCCATGAACTCGACTTTAGACATTGTGGATGCGGGGAAAGGCCTACTAACGTATGCGCCTCGGAAGTCCTTCGCTACAAGCCAGGCACAAACACATTGCTGAGAAACCGCTAGGCAAACAAATGCCACGCTGAGCAACTGCTAGGCAAACAAATCCCTCCTTGGGTCATTTATCCAAAAATTGCTGAACCACCTATGCATTCCGCAAAAGATGTTTTTGATTCATTCTAAACATTCTAAAAATTCTACTTTAGCTATGCTATTCCGTCCAAGGATGCCTGAGGTCAGTACCATGCAGGTGGAGCAGCATGGCCCACGCGGATGCCGTTCTCGCGCCTCGACAAAGGAGAATCAGCGATGAATCCTAACATCTGAATCTAAGAGCACACCAAACCCTTGAGCAAACTGTTTCAGTCAAGTCAAGCAGATCTCACGCTTGCAAAAATGTCTTAAAGCCCCTTGTCCGAATTCACTTGTTCCTCAAATAACAGCGTGTATTTTTTGTTCGGGCCGGAGGCACAATAAGGTACCACGTAATGGATGTCCGTTCGTTGTAAGCTCCTGCAGATATTGGTGCCAGCGCGGAAATGCCTGATTTGGTTTCTGAAGAGTGCAACACCCGTATGGCTCCATTTCTGCAAGAACAAAATACCAAGGCGGTCCCATTCTCCATAGCAAAGGACGCGCTTGTGTACCAAACCCCAAGTCTCCTGCCAGTGGTGGGTTCATCCTTTGTTTCGAACCAATTTCTGACTAAGATTTCGTGATTGAATTTCAAACGCTTGCCATACATTGCAAGGTGTCCCGCGTATATACCGTGTGCACCTCAGGTATTTTCAGTGCATGGCAGCAAAATAGAATTCAACTACCACATTTGGTAAGAGGCTGGGGCTATAGGATGGTTCAAGTTGCGCCATGGGCTTCTTGAAGGAGTGCGTGGAGCACGTGTGGCCTTTTCAGCACTGTTTTATCCGGCCTGTCGGCGGTTTTACCCGGCCAGGCTCAGGCATCTTGCAAAAAAAATGTCTGGCATTGTAGGTGTCATACTTTAGCCACCTTGAATTTTCACCCCGATCATATTCTATGCTTTTGGACTCGCTGGCATGCTGGGAGCGTCTCTATCAAGGCTGTAGCCTGGGTGAACAAACCTTTCTGATTCACACCACGCATTGAATACTTAGACATGTGACATGTCTTCGGCGCTTCTTTACTTAGATTCGGCGTTTCCATTTTGGTATTAGCAACTTTTATTGCCCCATGGCTTTCAAGTAGGGAAAGCTAGGGCTGATTTTGGCTGAATGTCCCAAGCAATCATGAAAGTCTCAGGTAAAAAAGCCCAAATGCACTTTTGATCTGATTTTTCTAATTTTTCAAAGGATCGAAAACTGATTCAGTTGTTCATGGCTAGCAATTCAAGACCCCCGGCCGGATGATCAAGCAAAGGCTTTCAATTATTGTGTCTGTGAGTTTCGAACATTGGTGACTGGCAGAAGGCGTGTGTAGTGCCATGTAATGCTGCCGCTTTCCAGAAATATCGACTGTAAATCTTGCAATCCTTTCCACACTTCCACACCATGGCTTCTTAATATCGAATGGATTTCAATTGTTAAATTAACGAACGCTTTCCTGCAACAATGGGCTTAGGATATTTTTTCTTCTCGGCCCAAAAACTATGATGCAGTCTGGAAAAGGGTCTGAATGTATTGAGACCGCTGTTCTGGTCTGAAGATTTCGCAGGTAAAAGTGGTATACCGTATTACCGCATAAATATATTAAAGAAATAGAGCCGGCAAAGATATTCCTTGTTGACCAATATGCGTAAAAAAGGACAAGAAATAGCAGTCTTACATCATTTTTAAAGATACCTTTGGCAAAGAAGCACTTGATATCACTTGATGACTCTCCATTAGGGATGGCTCTGTGCACGACCCTGCAAGAATGCACCAATAGGATTATCTCCCAGTGCTTATGGCCGGTTGAAGTTCTTTGCCTATGTCCCATGCAGCCCATGCGTGTTTGATTTTGTTCGTGCTTCGGTGTGTTTTCTCTCCATGGTATTGGTTTGGTATGTCTTGGTGCTGTTTTTTGTTCCTGGTTGCTGCGAGGTTGTGTTTGCCACAGAAGGATCATCAATATTTGCTCGGAGAACCCCCTAGCTGCCCTAGCTCCTTCCGGACATCTCCATCTTCCTCCGCCTGCTGAATGCGGAGCAAAGCCTCACCAACGCCAGGAACAAACAAAGGATGGCCTTGTTCGACATAGCGGAACGTGATGCGAACGTGATGCTGCAACATCCAAAGGGTCCCCACGCCAGGTGTGTGCAAAGGTTTTCACCGGTGTTTCAAGGCACTGTGAACGCACCGAAATGTTACCGCAGCGCCCCCTAAGTGTCCAACTCGTTGTTGAAAGTCCTGGTTGGGTTCGGTAATGCCCATCTTTGACAAAATCCTTTGCCTTGGCCAAGGCAGTGTCACAAGATGTAAGAAGTACGCATTCAGTTCCATCTCATCCAAGTGCTGGTCTAGACACAGCAAGCCGAAATTGTCGAAGGAGGTGGGAGCAGTCCGAGAAGAGAAAGAGTCAAAGAGAAAGAGTCAGCAGACAGAAGAACAAGCTGCGTGCAAAGCAAGAAAAGTCGCGAAACGCTATGTTTTTCGAATGTTGTGTGTCTCCGGAGTGTCGAAAAGTAGGCGCTCAAGCGGCGAGTGCGAAGCCATCTGGGCAGATCTGAGATGAAATATTGCACGCCGTCGAGGTGCGAAGCGGTCAGAGCCAAAATATCTCATGACGTACCATCCCAGATGTGTTGAATTCCAAGAAAAGATCTCATGACGTACCATCCCAGATGTGTTGATTCCAAGAAAAGATCTCATGACGTACCATCCCAGATGTGTTGAATTCCAAGAAAAGATCTCATGACGTACCATCCCAGATGTGTTGAATTCCAAGAAAAGATCTCATGACGTACCATCCCAGATGTGTTGAATTCCAAGAAAAGATCTCATGAAGTACCATCCCAGATGTGTTGAATTCCAAGAAAAGATCTCATGACGTACCATCCCAGATGTGTTCAAGTCCAAAGAACGTTATTACACCCCCCCACCCCCCCCAACCCCCACCCCCCAACCAACACCACGCCAAAAAAACAACAAAAAAAGACAAAAAAAGAGGTTTCACTGAGGCGAAACAAAAAAAAACAAGGAAAAAGTGCGCTCTCGCTGTGGCGCCAGTGCAGTGAACTAGCAAAAACACTGTTTCGTGACGCGGCCTTCTGCGCGCGCCCAGCCAACTACAACTACAAGTACAGCCACATTATACGCTACACTACGTACACATCTGAAACGACACTACAACGACACTACACCACACTACAATACACCTTCACCTACGCCTACACCAAAACAACACCACAACAACAACAGCAACAACAACAACAACAGCAACAGCAACAACAGCAACAACAACAACAAGAAGACAATAATAACACACAACACCAGCAACAACACCATACAACAACAACAACGACGCCACACCACCACCACCACCACCACCACAACAACCATCACAACAACAACAGCAACAACAACAAACAACTACTACTACTACTACAACTACAGCAGCAGCAGCAGCAACAACAACAACAACAACAACGCAAGAACGCTACAACTACAACACTACAGAACTACAACTACACCACAACTACACTACAGTGCAGCTACGAGTGGATGAGCAGGGCGGAAGGAGGAATCGGCGCAGCCACCTGCACCAGTCGCTCAGCCACCCCCTAAACCCCACCAGCCCGCAAACCCCCACCCACCCTAAACCCTACCCACCCCTAACCCCCCCACTCCGAACCCCAAACCTACAGGTAACATCGCGCTCAGCTCCGTCACTCTACCAGAGTGGCTAGTGGCTGCAGTGCGCATTTCCGCCAGCGCGCGCTCAACTACATTACACTACACTACAACACACCAGACTACTCCACAGCTACACCTACAGCAACAGCTACAACCACAGCTACAACGACACTACAACACCAGACTACAACTACAGCACACTACACTACACCACAGTACACCACACCACGCCACACCACACTACGCTACAGCTACAACAACTACAACTACAACAGCTACAGCTACACTGCACTACAGATAGATAGATAGACAGATAAATAAATAGACAGGGGGGGCATCACATCAACTCACCTCTCAAAAGCTTCCTATCATTGAAACTTCCGCCGCCTTGTGCCGTACTTACTACTCATATGCTTTTTTCTAAATCGCCTTTTTGAAGCCTTCGTAGCATGCCTAGATAGGAAATAACCGTAGGACAAATTGAATTGATGTATGGGGACAATATTAAACGTGCTAAACTCTCTTCGTTCTTTTGCAGTCACTTTCTAGACAGCGTGCTCTGGCGCTGGAAATTTTCTGAAAAACTGTGTGGCACATCAACAGCATTTTTTGCATGGTGGCCTTTGTATGTTAATATTAGCAGAGTATCGTGTCAAACAGTTTCTGCCGAAACATCTGCGGTGACGCATAACACCAATGATTGGAATTGGAGACCAAAATTTGCACCTGTGCTTTGCTCAAGCAAACTCACAGATTGGTTTGTAATCAGCAGGAAACGCACATGTGGCTGTGTATCTCTAATTACATTGTATCATTGTATTGTTTGAACTGCAAAACACATCGGCTCCCTAAGATGTCGCCAGATAAAAAGCTAGGAGTTATGCCTGGCACAACCACTCAGAGAATATTAGGGGATTCTCGACTGCCACAAGACTCTTCCAATACGAGACCCAAAATTCAGCACAGCCTTGATGGGAGACCCAAGTTGCGTAATGCGTTCTCCAAAGCGAAGCCGAAACCAACCCCAAGCGTCTAAGCTGAGACCCAAACGTGCCGGCCACACCGAAGTTGTCCACCCCAACACTAGTCAAGACCTGAGGCCATCATTTCATGATGTTTCACCCGTCTCAGGATTTAGGCGTCTATTGACTGCAGAGACTTGCCTTTTGCCTGAGAAGCGTCGCAAATTTCACAAGACGTGAAGCAGTCTGAAGCAATCTCAATCATGTTTCGATCTAACTCGGGGGCACAATTTCACAAATCAGGTGCAAACCTCTTTCATTCTTTGTATCGTGGTGCAGGTGGCGCCTTTCGGCTTCAAAGAGTTCGCCTTTCGGCTGAAGCTGCAATAGCTGTACTGCAGTACTAAATCCGTCAAGAACAATCTGCAAAGTGGTCAGACGACCTTCAGAAGCCAGGTGACAAGCCAGGTGAGTGCGGCTCAACCTTCAGCACCGGCTTCATCACCGGGCCTCTAAATGTGGTCGGGTCATCTTCACCAGCTCATCAGGCGCCAGCTGCGCCAATTTATTGATTGTGAGGGCCGTATGGCCGTGCCTATGGTAAGCTCTGCAAAAGGGGTCACTTTTGGATGCTGCGTTTCGCGCGGCAGGCGTGGCACTTCGTCGCTGACCTTGTAACATTCTCGGGAGCCTCCCATTCTCAGCTTGCAGTGTGCATGCTACCTTGCACATTTCCAGGCAAGTCAAACCAAATTTTGCAAGCTGAGACCAGCTAAGAGTGCGCCTTTTGATCGTCATCCAGTTTCATCATAGTAATGACATGGCCTCGTCAGACCTGTGAAGGGTTGTATATCCTTGCTCGCAGGCACTGCTGTATATGGGACCGCCTCAGCAGAAGGAAAGCCTTCAAAGTCAGTTGGTAGAGCAGAAGGAAAGCCTTCAAAGTCAGTTGGTAGACCCGGTTCAGCTATAGCTGGTTGGGCCTTCTGCAAGAACAGCACCAAGCTTCGGCACGCGAAGCTGGCCCTTTGCCGATGAGCTTTGGCACAGGCACGCCAAGCAGTGGCTAGCTTAGCTCCTGCGTCTGTATAATTCTTCGGTGCTGAAGTCTGAGAAGCCTGTCGCCATGAGCCGACAAACCTGGACGGCAGCTCCAGACAGCCTCTGCTTCAACCTGTGTCAGGTAGCCTTGTGGCAGCCCCCAACACCTCCAACAATCCTGACGTCCAGCTTCAGGCCCTCGAACAACGCCAGGACTGATGTCAACTCTCGGTCCTACCATCTTTTGAGTAGGTGTCACTTCAGGAGTGCCACCTTGCACACATCCTCCTTGGGAGCTGATTAAGGGACTTGATAGCCCCAGTCTAAACATCCTGCTCATCTGAACCTAACGAACGGCAACAGCTGAGAGAAGTTTGCACCTGATTTGTGAAACAGAAACCATTGCAAACAGCTCTTTACAAGATCCGGATAGTGTGCACCCCTCTACTTCACTGCAAGGCACCTTCACAAAATGCGGGCCGTTCCAATCTGACAGCTTCTGAGGCATTCCATAGACGAACTCATCGAGAGCTGGCTCCACTCTTTCCAGTAACCTGAAGTGCGAGGGCTGCCTCGTGAAAACTGTGCTGCGTTGCCAATGGGGTCTCAACATGTCCGAACTGAATTGAATCTTTGAATTCACTTGTTTGGAAGCCCCAAGGCAAAAATCACGGCAAAACCCTAAGTAAGTGCCAGCAGAGATATCACAAGAAAAGACTTTTCGACTGGTTTAAATGTGTCAAAGGGATTCAAAGGGCTTTGCCTGTTCAGCATATACTCCCCTTCCCATCAGTAGCAAAATTAGATATGTTGCTCCAGCAACTCGTGCGATCTTACACTGTGGCGATGAACAAAAAATTCTCCAAGGGTTACCCTTCAGCCATGTTTCGACTGCTCCAAGGTTCTGACCCCAACTTTCAACGTTCATGCTCGGTCCTTTTGCAGTTATCGAACTTGATTCTTTTATCCGGACATCGTTGCTTGTTCACAAAAGAAAAACAATAAGGATAATTAGGTGGAACGTGGAAAAAGGGCAATTGGCAGTCAATGTTTTTGGACAGTTGGCCTGTTCACAAAGAAATGTCAGCTAGGCTCATTGCCCGCTGGTTTAGTAGCATTCATGGAATTGTGGTTTCCACTTCCAAGAGCACAATCAACCTCACCATGCAATCCCAGTACATCGAAACGTCACGCACGCATAGTGCAGCTGAGTTGCTCTTCTGACATGTCCGGGACGGAATCTGAGATATTTGCTAATGCTTGGGCATCGAATGAAGACATCCGCTTCTGCACTTCGGATTTCAAAGCTGCCCTGCGCTTTGGTCGAAAAATACCGATGGAACAATCAAAACCATGGCAATACATCTTTGCTTTTTGTTGGGTCATTTTGCTATGACAACGGTCACTTTCATGGACTATGAAAAATATCCACCACTCAGTCGTGGAATTCTTATTCGGACAGTCAACGAATCGTTGACGAATTCTACCAGTTGATTTTGCTTCATCGATGGAAACAATGCAATAAGGAAACAAACAATCTGCATCTAACCCCCAAAGTTTTTTGAACGCAGAAAACACATTGGAATTAATAACATCCCCATAGGAATCCTGCACTTAAACCATCTAGATTCTGTTGTTTCAATATCCGGTTGAAACAAACTGAAACCCACCATGTCCCCCAAGGGTTCTGCATCACCAACTGGCATAGTTGGTTAAAAAATCGCAACAACAAATCCCATGAGCCGATTGGCTCCGATATCTTGGTGAAGATACACTCAACCCCATCAAATGCCATGACGCATGTAAACCTTCCTGGCATTGGCTTGAATGCCTAGCTCAACATGCACTGAAAACCATCAAATTTCCAGTAAACCTTCCCGAACCGGTTGCGATAGTTTGTGAGAAGCGCGTTGAAATAAACGTGACAGTTAATCTACGAATCCCAGATTCTCTCAATTCGCACCTGAAAATGCAATTCCTAGAAAGATTTACAGTGCTCGGAGTGGGGCGAAGTATGTTTTGGAAGGGTAAGGAGCCACACTGAGGCATTGAGTACCTGTACGAAGGCAGGATCGATTCCGATCAAGTGTAACGTTGTTGCTAGCAGGATCAGAAATAAGTTTTGTGACAAATTGATTCACAAACTTGATCATCGCATATCACCCATCAGCACGTCCTTGGGAAATATGGTGAACCCCATGTCAAGGTAGTACGCCAGCGCAATGGAACGCCCAGTAAATTTCTGTCAAAGTATGCGCTGTATGTTGCATAATCTCGGACCAGCAAGCCGCCGTGCACCAGTGAAGAAAGTGCGAGCAAACCCAACTCGTGGCAAATTTTTTACCAAAGACATGATATGTACGATGCACTGTCGGGTGTGCTCAATGAATGTGCAAACTGGAGAGCAAGCGAGCCTTTTCGTTTTCGTGTCATGTTTTCAAACCCGCCTGCGCTGACACGGGCATTTGATGCCATGCTGCGGATTGGTCACACGCCCTTGATGCTGGCTCACACATCATGCGCTCTGTAAGCCACTGAAGTATTGAAAATTGCAAATCAAAAATATATATGTACATATAATTAGATAGGTATATACAATTATATATTTTTATACAATCATATATTTCTCTGAATGTACATTTGCATTTAAGGTATCTCTTTGCCAATCCAACAATCAACAAATTTACATGCACGCATTATGCCTGCAAAAAAACCCAAAGACTGTTGAGCAGAGCTCCTATGAACAAAACCCCCTGACAAAAACTCTACAAGATCTTCGAACCAGGACCTCGCAGAGAATCTCACAAGATCATTTTGCAAGAACCTCTTCAGAGCATCCCACAAGAGCTCTCATACAAGCACCTCTAATGCAGGGCATCTTCAAGAACTGCATTCAAGGGCCATTGACAGGATTTCACCTCTCCACAAGATCTTTTCGCAAGGGGCTATACAAAATCCTGGGCAAGAAACTAGCATGAGCACCGCGCAATGAGAGCGATCCGGCACGCACAAAGTGATGAGAAGGTTGCACGATATGAGGATGAGCAAGGCGCCGCAACCAAAGCCATCCGACGCGCACAAAGCGACGAGAGTGTTCCACAAGCGATACGGACATAAGCACCGCGCCACGAGAGCGATCCCACATCTGTTAGAATTTTACCATGTACTGGGCGCAGCAATTTAAAAAGGTGAAAGCAATAATTTACCTACTGGGTTTCAGGCTGCGCCAGCCACATTGATGAAAATGTGTCCGATTGCGCCGCCTGCCGAATCTCTTGCGCCCACAACGAAAAAACGTACATCAAAACACAGGTGAGAATGCTCACCTCCGCACTAGAGCTTTCCAAGACCACGTTTCGTGCAAGAGACTTGATGAACGGAGGATCGAGGGCACTCCAAGGGTCACCAAAGTAGCTGAACACAGAAGCGTGATCCCCAACTCAGCCTTGACTCCTACCGTAAGAACCCCATAGTGTGAACACATTGTTTGGGGAAGTACAACCTAGAACTTTTGACCGGTATACTGTACTTGTAAAGCTGGTTTATCAGTTTTGTTGGTGTGGATCAACAAACATTGCAACTCCGGAAGAGACGCCGCAGAAGAGAAAGCCGCAATGTAGTTCGCGTGACCAGCGCAGGGAAGACAAATGTAAAACCACATTCTGGCGCTGAATGTTGTTTTCCCCCCGTGGAAGCCATGCTAAAACACCCTGAGAATGAGCCGCTTATCAATGCAACGAACTGCCGGATGCAAACGGCCGTCTGTAAGCCGTGGACCATGTAGTTGTGATGTGTGCTGTAGTAGTATAGGTGATGAAAGTGATGCCGAGCATACCTAATTTTGGGTAGCTTCCTGCCGGGATCAACCAAATCCAATTTTTCTTGACCACAGGTGCAACATTCATGGTATGTAGTTTGATGTGGATGATACTCCAACAAAACACAAAGCAATAATGGTTGATAATGGTTGATAATGGTTGTGATGATGACGATGATGACGAGCATGATCACGAGCATGATGGCGAGCATGATGACGAGCATGATGACGAGTGTGATGACGACCAAGATGATGATGATGATGATGATGATGATGCTGATCCTGATGAAGATGAACATGAAGAAGAAGGTGACAACGGCAACAATAAATTGAATGACGACCAAAACAATGAGGACGAGGATGCAGCATAAGGACAAGAATCCGCTTGGCGGTGATGAGAATTGACGAAGAGGATGAAGAGGGCTGATGATAAAAAATGACGGATAAAGCCTCTGACATGGAAACCAAGCAGGACAAGGAAAACCCAGAATATTGCAGGATATTGCAGGCAATAAACCTTTCGACCCTCTACAGCAAGGTTCATAAGACCCCGGATTGAAACTGTGACCATTGAAGGCCACCTCCAAAATGATGAATCCCTTCTTAACACAAAAATCTGTCCTCGGAACTCTCCTCTGGCCCTGAAAAGGAAATGTGCTAAAGCACAGAAAAGCGAGTTGCTGACGCTTTCGCGAGTTGTGTCTATCCCCTCTCAACACCACGCTATTCCCGAATCGGCCCAATTGGCCCAACCTGAGTTGCATGTCCACCGCAGACAGCTTTGAAAATGCTCAAGCACTGTTGGATAGCTCTTGATTCCTCGGAGAAACACAGTGGCCATTCTGGCCTCACGGCTTCCATCACAAGAAAACGTCAATGACGTCATAAAATGTCACCAAAAACACGATGAAAAACCAGCAGAATCACGAGCTTCAAAAACAAGGGCAATTTCTGCACTGACTGATGCGAAATTGCGGCCAGCAAAGCCGGACTGATTTCCAGAAGGGTGGCGCAGGTCCAAACTGTGTTGGACAAGTCCTGCTTTGCTCTGGCAGAAGGCGAAAATGCTTCGATTCAATGGACCTACCACTGTGGATACTGGATGTTCTACTGGATGTTCTACTGGATGGTGTGGTTCACATGGTTCATTCCCCATGAAATACAACAGCTACGAACGAAAGTACACTCGCGCTATACCCTATACGTCCCTGCGCAGAATCAAAGGATCGCCAGTGTCACTACAGCACTGTTCATGAGCTTTTGGGACATTGTGGGACACGTGAAACCACGTGATTCGAGACGAATTCAAGCACCACATCAACCAGTTATAACAATATTTAATAATTATATTAAGGCTCAACTGAATGGGGCAAAAGCCGATGTTCTACATTTGGCACAAGCATCATAGATAACCCATAACCCTCGGTTCATCTCCGCGTGAAGTTCTGAAGTTCTCACTGGTGAGTTTTGGACTTCCAAAATACATACTGTACTGAGACACACTGAGACATACTGAGACATACTGAGAGCCTGAAAGCCTTCAAAGCAGAACCGGATTGGCAATTTATACGCTTCACTACTTCGAAGTGGGACTAGAAGATGACATCTGAAACAAATCGAAACAACCTGAAGCTTGTGAGGGATACAGGACAAACCAAATAGTCAGCGGACAGAAGACCTGCAACACCAAGGATAGAGGGATAGAGCCATTCTGAAATTCCTCGAAAACGATTTCAATCGTGTTCAGACTGTGAACACCACAGCTACAGGACTTTTTGACGCTTCCCGAAGAAGGGCTTTTATGATATTATATATATATATACATATTTTATGATTGTGATGGGACATCTTCCAACAGTGCAAACGTCCTGTGTGACAAACTCATGGATGATGCTGATGGATTGCCTTGCAATAGCCTCCAAAAATACCACATCCACAAAGCCAATCTTGCCACAGCACCAAGCTAAATTAGCCACTTCTTGTGGGATCAGCTCTGTGACGATCTTTGATACTTCAGCAACGACTTTCTCCATCAGCTGCTTATTGCGGAAACCCAGCACAGCGAGACTCCAGGCAGTGTTTGTCAAATTCCTGGGTGAACATCAACTGCGGGCGTCAACGACCCATGGATGTAAGTACGAGCATACTGCTCGTTGAGAACACTGTGTTGATTGGTACTTTGGCAATTTTTCATTTGCTATTGTCGTTCAGGGTCCAATGTTGTGATGGTGGCCTGGATCGAAGTGATTGTATGCTTGAAGCACTAGCGTGCACATGCACATTGCCGCAATTTGCTGCAACCCCCCAAAGTTTGAACGAATCACGCATTATATAAGGCGTCTGGTCAATAGTACTAAACACATCGGACATGCCATATGCCTACCTCAAGAGTATAGATATAGATACTCAATGCGCATCAACATTTCTTTACAAGGACTGCATCTTGTCATGTGTCTTCGTTAATCAAAATGCTGAGACTCTGGGACGCAAAACTTTCCATCTTGTTGATCGAAATTTGTGCAACGGCATCACACAGGGGACGATCGATGAACATCAGCCGAGCAAATGCCCAAATACAGTTGGCCAGCCTGGCGGTGTGCGCAGGATGGCATGTTTCAGCAAAACATAGAAACATATACATAAATATACATAAATATACATAGATAAATACATAAATATATCTAACTTTGTCGAACTGACGCCAAGCAACTCTTGAGGTGCGAAAGTGTTCAGGGATCGAAAGGATGCTTGTGCAATCAATGGGATCAGAGGTCCAGGCTGAATGAGAACAGTCGCGAAAGTCCAGACCAAATTGGACAGAGACTGCGAATCGCACTGACCGATTTTGGACCTCAGCACGAGGAACCGGAAGGAACCCGACGGAACCGCACCAAGGAACACGACAAACCAAGGACAAAACGATGACAGAAAAAACATGAAAAAACCCAACTGAATGTAAAATGATGTAAAATGATGTAAAATGTGCAAACTGTCGAGGCACTCTGCAATATCTGCAACAGCGTGAAAAAACACGACGTCTGTGCACGCTAGCTTGGCAAAGGCTCAGAGCGTACTAGACAATTCTTTTGGGATAGCTTCTTTCATGGTAGCCTCAGCAGTGGTTCCACGATGTTTCTCTACAGTTGGTAGCACCAAGCAGAGTGTTTGCCCCAAACATCATGCAGTATTAGAATCAAAGAAAGAAGTTGCATGATGTTGCATGCATTGTTTGATCTGTTGGGAATGTTGGTCAACATCATCACCAGCGATGACAGGTAAGATAGGTAAGATAGGTAAGATAGGTAAGATAGGTAAGATAGGTAAGATAGATATATTAGATATGAAAAGCGTCAAGCGGCAACTCTTGAAGCGATTGCGCTCATCAAGAAGTCATCCTTCACTTGCAGCTTTGCAAAACTTCATGCGGCATTGGCCAAATTCTGTGGAGCAAAGGACGCCACCTTCAGCACCTGAAACCGGACCGTGGCGATGATTGGAGGCTTAGACCTGCTTAGATCTGCTTAGGGCCCCGATGTGAAATGATGTGACCTTACGCATGCTAAGCAGCTCTATTGGGTCAAGGACTGTCATTACCCAACTGTCTCGGGCACAGGCATGTGCAAAAGGTACTTCCGGAGATCTGTGGAAGTTTATCGTGCGCACTCAATTGCAATCTTTCATTAAAGGTCTGTAAATCATCCTTTGATGAAGCTGAAGGAGAACTTACTGTACAAATCCATATCATACGCTGAAACCCTGGAGATCCACTTGTGCAAAAACCAGTACCGCCCTGTCTACTTTGCACTCTGATCATACACAAGAGTTTATTATTTGCATAGTATCTTTGGCAAAGGAACGGCGACACTACGGATAACGCATCATAACAGCAAAGCAAGGCACACATTGAGCAGAGATCGCTTCCAGAAGTTCTTCCTTCCGCAAAATCAGCTTCGCTAGCGACCAGGCAGTCGCGGACAAGCTTTGAGAACCAAACGCTGAGATCTTTGTCAAAGCCACTTCTGCCAAAGCCTCCAGAAAGGTCCATGTTGAATGCGTTGAAGACATTGCCACAGCAGCGAAAGCCCATAAAGTGTTGGAGACATGCAACACCAGAAAACTGGGCAGTGCCTCCTTGGCCGATGAAGCCAAAGAATTGAATAGACTTGTATCTGCGATCACCATCATCGCAAACGCCCAGGAGCTGTTTGCAATCTCCTGGGCACCAAACTGTGGCAATCGCTGCTGGGCAGCTTTGGAGATCGAGGCCAAAAAAGCACTGGAAGTTGTATCTCGCATTGCAAGCCTTGCAAATGACCAAGCCATGCTCGACAAGGTTTGCGCTTGCGCCTGTTCGATTTCCACATGGATCTTCCCAGCAAATGCGGTCAACAGAGACGTGTTGCGTACGAGCAACTTTGCGAACGCCCAGCTGATGTTCGATATATGCTGCTGGGTGTATTCACTAATGCACCGGAAGGATTCCACGGCAAGTGCATCCATAAAGGGCTGATTCAGCAAATCTTGCTTTGCAAAGGCCCACACAGTATTTGCTTTGTCTTGTGGACTGAAACTCGGGAGCTTCGAAATACTGTGTGAAGCCACAGTTTTGAAAAGTACATGGTCCAACACCTCGCAGGGTTTTAAAACAATTACGTGTACGACTCTGTGGCCTACAGATCCTGAGCCGCTTACTCTTTTGGAAACTGTTTTTGTTATCCCATTGTTTATTCTCATGTTTCCTATTTCTTGCATACCAGCTATACCTATTTTTGTGGGTTCCTCGGTTCCTCTTCTTGTTTCCCCGTGTTTCTCGTTTTTGCAGATTCTTGCTTTTGTTGATTCTCATTTTCACCCGTCCATGTTTCACGATTTTGCTTGTTCCTGTGTTTGTAGACAAGTTCGGCGTCGCAAAACCAACGCTGATGTTTGTATCTATATGTTTTGACATGCTTTGACAGTCAACACACTGTAACACACTCCCCATACCTGACGGCTTTTCCGACTTGCCAGGTCTACGTAGATGCGGTCCAGGTTGAAAGTTGGGCATTCGGCTCACTACATGAGATTCGAAGATATCTCATGATATCTCATAGGATTGCAAAGGTTTCATATGAACAATTCATGTCATTTCATGTTGCAATTCGCAAAGCCCGCTTGAGGGGTTCTGGCAAGAATCTGTGGAAACACTGTAGGTGAAAAACGTGCAAATCGTAAAGAATGTTGAAAATGCAGTCATCTGCCTTACAGTTGAGAACAAAATACCCGTGTCTGATGCTCAAAGGGGAAGGTAATATATGAAGGTATGGGATACGCATAGAGACAGAAAGTGCTCTCGAGTTTCCCCAAAGTCATCCCCGAGCGTAGGTGCGTCAAGGGGTAATTCATCTTCCGTCATCTGCCTTTCTGTTCATTTTGACTCAGACGCCTTGTTGCTCTCACTTTTTACATACTTTTCCTCCCGAGATTCTCTCTGAAGAAAGCAAATGTCATGACAATGAAAATAGAGATCCCGTGATGAACCTTTGGCAAAGAGTAAGACAGGTTCCAGAACAAAAGCAGGCTGACTCCTCAAGAATAGGCACTGTTAAACCCCTGAATGCAAAGCGTCAACATTTTCTTTTCTTTTTGTTTTCGCCTCAAAGAAAGGAATGTGACATATTTTTAAATTAAGAACAAATCAGGAATGCGTTCGTTCACACATTCTGTAGGACTGTTTTGCTGAGTCTCTCTTTGCAATACCTGAAATGAAAGCAACCCAGACTGACTGACCGATTCGTTCGGTCTCTCAAGTTTTTTTCCAAGAAACACAGACTGTGGAAAGTATGTGGAAAGTCATAATTTAATAAGGTGATACAAAATATCATCAGGGGAAGCATGCATGTCGAAATATGTATTCCAGACTTCCAGACCAGGCCATAATGATCCATCATGTAGTCCATCAGAAAGTGCTTGCAGCTGCTCGCATTTTTGTCATGCTTTACTACCCGAACCTCAATGGTTGAAAAACCTCATGCAGTGTTGGAGATCTTCTGCGGTGCAAAGTGAGGCATGGCTTCCTGTGCTGCTGCAGACAGCGCAGTCCACAATCTGCTGTCACGGATCAGCAGTCTGGCGCTGGCTCAAGCACTGTTGGAGATATCCTGCGATTTTCCGAAATCAATTGACTTCGACAACTTATCTCTCAAACGATCCTCTGTTGGGGCAACCCAAGTACAAAAATACAATACTCAAACTGATCAAACTGCTAATATTGAAACCAATCAGAAATTTGAACAATTGACAGACTCCTGCGACCCAAATCGATGAATTTGTGCCAGAACCTGCTCCACTAAATGCAGCAGAAATGGCGAGTTGACGTAAGCCAAGTGCGCCATCGCCCACACCGTGACGGAGCAGTCCTGGAAACGGTCCCGACTCGTGACTCATGACATCGACGCTGTGTACATGCAATGTACACGCAAGTTGTCATGACAGTATCATGCAATTGTTACAAGTTACATCAAGTTACACATTGTCATACAATCTGATCCACTCAAATTGCTAGCAGTATCTGGCAATCTCCAATTGGAATAAAACATATTACGATATTGGCTATGGCGAACTTTGCCAGGCTACACCTCTCAGAAACAGAATTCAAGTGGACAACTTGGGACAACTTGGCAGGTTTGTGTGTTCCACGGCAGAGAAGGTCCAAGGCGACCGGTGCCAAGGATGAGGCAATATTAGGCAAATTGGCGCATTTGAAGCACAAAAAATACCCAAACCGGGATATAAGGGCAAAATGTCCCAAATGTCTTTCACTCTTGAAGGATGTCCCTTAGAAAGGCATGAACCTAGCCGGATGCAGTCCCCTTGTTCCGCGCTTGTGCGACGTGCTGTTCGAAATAAGCAACGAGCACATAAGCATTTCATCTCTGATTGAAGAGTCTCATAAATTTCCCTTTTGTACAGCCGTTGCACATTTTGCACATGTATTTTCTTGTGAGCAACGAACATCCTTGTGATCCTCAACTTTGCGTCCTGCGGCTTGAATTCGCGAATCATCAACGAATTCAGCGCTTGGCAGCTGATCAAATCCATCAGGGGTCGGTTGCCACTTTCAAGCCTCAGCTGGCAATGTGAGGCATTTTTAAGCACCATGTTTAAGCTGTTTAAGCAACATGTGAAGCAACCAGTTTCAGTTTGGCCTTCCCTTGACGAACTGACATCTGCCGCAGGAACTGGGTTGACGGGAGGAACTGGGTTGACGGGTGGAGTCGTGGGCCCAACGCTTAAAGAAATGTAACTGGGATCTGAACAAAATCTGATAGTAAGTAAGACTTGTAAGACCCTCAGGGTTCTTGAACGCTTTGTGCATATGTGACTTGAACCATCAAGTGGGTCTGATGAAGCAGTTTACAGCTTTTACCATCACTTTTACTGAATCTAGCTGTGCCGGATCCTTTCGGTGTCGCGGTGGAAACGTTGGCATTGGAGCCATTGGAGTCTGGGCACTTGGCCATGGCCCAAAAGGTACCTGCAATGTCGCGGACAGCCTCGGTGTTCCGCAAGGCATTGTCACAGATATCACAGATGTCACAGAAAGCAACAAAAATATAAAACAATCAAATTACCACCGAAATTGGTTGAACCGAATTGGAAGTAATTTCAAGTATTCAAAGAAGAAAATCACTTGGAATCAACTTGAAATATTCGAAGCTGAAACCCACCGGCTCCCGGCTCAATGTGAACAAGAACGGTATCAATCCGGAGTGAGGTGAGGTGGCACATACGTCGCATACGGAAACTCACCATGAAACAAACCATGCCTTTTCAATGTCGGAAGAAAGGGCTGTTCCATTCAACTGGTCAAACACATCATGTTCATTCATGTTCCCCATTCTAGTGGCAATAAATTGATATAAAAGCACTGCAGGGTGTCCCCATATATTCATGGGAGCTGACCAGGTGGAGGAAAATGGTCGGCATGTGCACAAATCTATGGACAAACGAAGACAAGCAACTACGCATTCCACGTGTGATTCCACGTGTGATTCCACGTGTGATTCCACGTGTGATTCCACGTGTGATTCCACGTGTGATTCCATCAGTGTTCATGAAATGGCATATCGTAATATGATGTAATATGTAATATGAGATCACATACATCAAGACATATCAAGACATATCCTCCCTCTTCATAGATCTTCATATAGATGAAATATATATATATATTAATGATATATATATACATAACTTGTATTATCATGGGATATATTCATATATATCATTAATATATATCATTACAATGGGATATATGATATATTATCATTATTAATCTCATTGTATAAGCCCAACTGCTGCCGCGGAGCGAACTGCGTGAGGCGCTGCGCTGCGCCGAGGCCAAGCGTTTCGACCAGCGGCGCGACCACCGCGGAGCTCTGCAGGGCGCAGGTGGCGAAGCCCCACGCAGTGCCCGTCACGTCCTGAACGCCTCAGGACCGAAACGAAACGAACAGATTCTGTCGAAGTTCTGTCAGATTCTGTCAGACTTCAGACTCTCAAAGCTCATTCCTTTGACAAATCTCATCAAAGCTCCTACCTCACCTGAAACTTCTGACTTCATCCGACTTCATCGGACTTCCGACCAATGTCCAAAACATTCCAAGAACATTCCAGAACCATTGAGACAAAAAAACAACATTCGACAACAACCCTTCCATAATCTTTGCAATCTTTGCATCGTTCCAACACACTGAGCTCTTTTAAGTTCTTCCATTCAAATCAAAATCTCACTGTTGCAGCACAGCCACTGAACTCGGAGATTCGGTTGATGCAAGCAACGGACAAGACCTGTACATGAACTGCTCGTGAATGCTTCTCTTTTTTTTGGCAACTGCAACGGCAAAACCCAAAAGCGAAATTCAAAGAACCACATCATGATTTCTGCCATCTCCGTCATTTCCTGCGCAAAGCAATCCTTTGTGATTTGCTGGGCCTTGTAGAGTGGCATATCCCTATGTCCAAGCTTTGCGAAAGACCAGACTACCTTGGCACTGATCGAAGCCGGAACACCACACTAAATGGACCAGGAAACCATAGCTGCCATAGTTTTGCTTGTGTTTCCTGATTTGCCCATGTTTCCTTGTCAGATACGTTTAGCAATCTTCAGCAGATGTCTCCAAATATCTCCAAATGTTTGACAATTCCGAGGTCCTCAGACTTGAGACTTGGGATTCTTGGGATGCTCCGCTTTGACTCTCCGAATCTTTGCTTCTGACATTACATGGATTTACATGGCTGATAGCCATACACACACACCACACTGGTGATATTGGACTCAAAGAAAATGTGATCCAACAATAAGGAACAAAAGTCTGGCAAAGTCGGGCATGGGACGTTTTGAATGTTCTGTGGATCAAACTGCTCAATCTTGTCCTGCGACTGTGATGCCAGCATTTCCTGAGGCATAGGACGATAGGACCATGCAGTCACGACAAACGAGATGAGATTGTCAATGAATGCACCATGAATCTCGGTGATTGCATTGTCAATGTGCACAAGATGATCTGTGGATCACGCTGCGCACAATTTGGTTTTCGTCCTTAAAAAAATACGCCGTGGACATCTTACTCAATTTCGAAATGGCTACTCAATTTCTTAGCGTGAAATGCGTTTTGTTTAGAAGAGGAACATTCAATGAACAACATTTTCATCTGTTTTTGACGTTTAATTAGAGAGCTCTGCATGGGCAGCAAGGGATTGGACCCTTTTGAGCCTGAAAGTGAAAGTGAAAGTGGGCCTGCTGCTAAGGCTCCACCAGTGGCGCCCAGCGGAACTGCAAAATGGCCACTGCCCACGCCGTGTTGGAGATGTGCTACGGCGTGTGGCTTTAGGATCTGTCCAGCAACTGTGAAACTATCTCCTGGAAAACTCGTTCCCCAACTGCAGTCTTCCCATCTGGTACTTTGGCCATCCGGTGAAACGCTGTAACGAAATTCACGGTATCGAACTCCATCTGGTGCATATTGCACAAATTCAGCAAATCACCTGCGGAGGTACTGGTGCTCAAACGCCGATTCAGTTTGGCATTCTCGGAATCTTCCACTCGTCGTCGTTGAGGTTTGGAGAAAATTGCATAGGCACCGCTATAGAAGGACTGCTTCGCAACCTTATCAAATCGCGTATCTGCCAGTTTTCAGAGGCTTTTTGGCTGCTTCAGCATTTTATCTCTTGTCTACAGTCGAGAAACAACTGTGCAAAGTTCTTTGAAAGTGAAGGCACATCCAAATTTGTCACAAAAAACTTTGATGCAACGGGTCTCACAAGACCAGGCGGCTGCGTCGTCATTTCCTTCCTTTTCAGATTCACTGCGTGGATCCTCGCAACCAGATCAGCTTGCACAGGCCCTTTTGAGTGACAAAGAGGAATGACATGCGACTTGAAGAGTGATGAAGAGTGATGAAGAGTGATGAAGAGTGATGAAGAGTGATGAAGAGTTAAAACGATATTTGTATATATTTGTGACTTCCATCCCATCTGGCTACAGGCCATTGGCTAAGGGAAAAAAACAAACCAAGTCATGCACACGCGTCGCCGCGTGGCACACAAACATGCAGCGCTTTCATCAAACAAGATTGAGACTCGTACCATGCAGGGAAGCTGATGCAGCGGATGCAGCAAGTGCAACAAGCGCACTCCGCACAATGCTCATGTAGGAACACTCTTAGCAAAAAATGTTTGACAACTTTTCCGTTTCCAAGAAATATATATATATATTATAAGTCAATAAATGTGTCAACATGTTTAGAAGGCGCTGCTGGCAAGCTCAATCAACAACATTTTTTTTGGTATCTCTGACTATAGGTGTTGACAAATGACAGGTTGCATCGCCGACTAAAAGATGGCCCCAGGGATCTCGGCTCAAAGATCAGGATCAAACTACGATAAGCTCCGTGAGCTTCAAATTGTGTGAACAAGTTTGTCTAATACATTCTACATTCTACTACATCATAGATAATCATACTTTAAGGTTTGGGTCTGATATCACTGTTCTATACCAAACAATGAGATGTTGCGATAGATTTGTTGTCACCTTCGGCTGGTCTCAATCATATCATCTGTGCCCTACCCCAAAAAACAAACAAAGAGCCAAAAGTGGCCAAAAGCAAAGGTGGAACAGGTGGTGCTGTGGAGTATTGGAAGAGATGCCATGGCATCTGCAAAAATTGTAAGCCACATTGAAGATGGTTGAAATTCATCTACACCACCAACCACATTACCACCATGACAAAACAACGATGACGACGACGACAACAACAACAGACCGAGCAAGCGGGTGACATTCTAGGCAAAGGAAGGCGTGCTTGCTAGGACTTAGGACTTTCCATCTTAGGAGAATGCAGAAGCACAGGAAGCAAGACCTGAAAAGACCTGAATATGTTGGCAAAAGAAATGCAGGGTTCAGCTGGTCGGTCTTTCTCCCAGCGCAACTCCATCCGAAGCTTTTAGCTGTAACAGCATCTTTGTGCTGCGACGATCAGATTCCATGAATTCTCGTCCCTTCAAAGCTCTTCGTTGTCAACCTGTAAAGATCTGCAAACACAACAAAAAGAGAAAAGATGGTCAAATGGTTGAAATCTTTTGAGCTGTGCAAGATGTCTTCCTCTCATGTTCCCCCATGCTATTGCGACGACATCGTCAACAAGTGCTAACAAGGCCTCCACCCGAGGCCCAGAGAAGTAGCTCAATGCCTCAAGGTTAGGCAAATTGGAGAAAGGTCCGCCAATTTCAGCTCGCTCATGCATCTTCACAAAGGACTTCCTGGAATGGCTCCCTGGAAACGGTACCTCCTTATTCCTTGAAGATCCTTGAAGTAAGTGGTCAGAAAGTGGTCAGGTTGATGACTTGACATCTGACTCATCTGACCCAATTCAGGCGGAGGCCTCTTGGAGCTGTCGGCTCGTCTTGAGCACAGTTGGCAGAGCCTGACACACTAGTTGATCATAGTTGATCATAGTTGACCATAGTTGATCATATTTGATCTAGTCCGCGACTCAAGTCATGCCTTGACTAAAGACTCTTGCTACGCTCAAAAAATGCCTCGATGCTCCCCTCGCCTTTTTGACTCCCTTGTCTTCGAGGAGCTCCAACAAATCCGACAGCATCTCATGCAAAGAGCCACCTCGCAGCGTCGCAGCTGGCGCAGCAATGCAGCAATGCTGTGTTGGGTGATACGATGTGATACGCACGGAAGTATGATGATTATGATGTGCAAGACCAAAACTCGACCAAAAAATGTGCAGGACCTGTTTGGAAGATGCGTTTTCCCTCAAAGCAAACCTCAGTGTGAAGCAGTGAAATCATTTGGCTTTGTGAAATTTGTGAAATAATCCTTCTTTCCCTTGCCGGCTTCCCCGTCATGGCAACCACACTCCTTCCACTGAAATAGCTGAGTGTCTTTTTTCAACGTCTGTTGAAAATCTTTGGCATTCGAAGTCCCCAATGTGGAAGATGCCTCCAATTGCTTCAAACTTCAGTCAATTTCTTCAACAATGAAATGCGCGGGGTGGTGTCATCCATTGCCTCCTTAATGGCATCCACCAAAGGGCCATTGATGCTATGATAGCCTGCCACGCGAAACCAACTCTTCTGCTCTTCAAGCGCACTACTTTTGACGAGCAGTGGGATACCGACAAAGAAGTTACGGCAGTTACGATGCCATTTGCACCACCATGCCCCACCATGCCCCACCTTCTCGGCCGAGATAGTTCATAGTGAAATCCTCAAGCAGTCGACTTGCATCACCCGGGGAACAAGCTGGAAGAATTAAAAACACGTATAGTGCTATATTTCAAACGGACCATTTCGTACAATCCCCAAGAGATCCCAAGAGTAAGTCTTCACTATCTTCACTTCTTTCATCTCTATTCCAAAACCTGATTCTCAGCCTTTCTCAGCGATTATCCGCTCTCAGCGATTATCAACCTGTCCTTTGCCAAACCAGTGAGGCCCTTCTGCACTCCCAGCAAACTCAGCCAGTCGTCATTGAACTTTTTGGCCTTTTCTGACGCTGAGTCCTACACAGTCGCACAGTCGCTTCAACATTTCTCAACATCCCAAAAAACACGTTCAAAATCGAAGGAGTTGTTTTTTTCTCATGATGTACTGACAAACTCAGCAGTTGCTCAATGAAGTCGTTTACTGTTGACCTTGCTTTTTCGCACCCTGCTTTCCATCGTTCTTCTGCTCGCAATCAGCAGTACATTCAAGCCCTATAGCGATGCTTTGGGTTCAAAGCAAGTTTGTCCTTTCTTTGTTTTCTGGTCTGGGACTGTTTTCCCTGCTATTTGCAGCATTGTGGAGTTAACACTTGCAATTTTCACAGTATTTGTAGCATATTGAATCTGAACTCCATAATGTGCACATTTCTTCTAGCAGCTTCTTGTTGTGGCAAACATTTTTGCAACATCGTGCAGCTGGAACTTGTCACGTGGTTGGTATATGATTCCGGTTCTTTCTCTTGTTGGTTCATGTTGAATTCTGTCTTTCCTGGCATTCTTTTTGATCTTCTTTTTTGTATTTCTGTTTCCCTTGTTGTTTGCAACATGCTTGCAGCATATTGAAGGTAGAATCTTTGGCTTAAAAGGTATTTGCAGCTTGCCAAAGCCAAGAATCCTAAAAATAAAATCCAAGCCACCATCAAGCTCAGGAAACCACGGGAAGTCCGAACCTGTCAGTTCCATTAATTTTGACCTTGCATGTCTATTATTTTTACGCTATTTGGGCTATTTGCACGAATTTTGTTTTCTTTTTTCAGCTCAGGAGTTTTGCTTGGAAACATGATTTCACAGCAAGTGAATGCTTTGGGATATGCAATGCAAATTTTGTGGTGCAGAAGGGGGGTTGGGGGAGGGCACAGCGCCTCTTCTATTGTTCTTCTTCACGTTGTCGTTGGAGTTTTTCATAATTGCTCTTGGTGTTCCTGTTGTTCCAGTTGTTGTTGCTGTTGGTGTTGTTGTTGTTGTTGATGTTGCCGCTGTTGCCACTGTTGTTGTTGTTGTTGTTGTCGTTGTCGTTGTGGCTGTGGCTGTGGCTGTTGCTGTTGGTGTTGTTGTTGTTGTTGTTGTTCTGCCTCAAACAATACCAAAGGTCAAAACGCCAAAAAACAAAAAACACCGAAAAAAACAAGAAAGCACACTGCCCTCCCAAATATTGCATTGCTGACAAATTCATTTTGCCCTGCGAGTTTTTACTTGTTGATTTGGTTTACCCAGTCGTTTTCCATGTTTTTCCATGTCTTTCCATGTCTCTTTGCATGTTTTTTCATGGCCTTTCTGAACCGCTCCTGGCCATTGCTCTTCAGCTCAGCCGTAAGGCCATCAAAAAGCGCCAGTCCCGCATCCCGGAAGCTCTTCACCTCGAAATTTTGCACACAACGTGTCTAATCCGTGTAGACAATATATGATAAGTTATGATAAATTATGATATGATAATATATATGATAAATTATGATAATATGTTGAGGATTAGACACGAACACACATCACATGATGACATTCCCAACATCCCACCTTGGTCAAAACATCTACCACGGATGCCTCACTCACCTCAAAAGCTGCGCAGGTTCTGCTCAGAGCAGGCTTGCAAACGATGCGAACGACGCAGTCGAGGCAGATTTCCAATCTTCTGATCTCAATTTCATGAATTTGCCCTTTCGCGTTGCCTGCGACAGAAAAAATCAGCCTCAAATTTCTTCACGGTTTCAATTTGTCTGCTGTTGTTTGCTGTGTCTCAGGCTCCCACCACCAGGATGACCAGAAACAGGACATTTCTCAAGCGCGCCATGCCGCCTTGCCGGCCTTGCCGGCCCTGCCCCTGCCACGCTTGAGCCGATGCATCGAGTCAATGCATTGCTCGTTCCTTTGTGATCTTTTACTGTGCTGCTGTGCTTACCATTCTCCATGAAACAAAATACAGAAACGAAGACATCGGAAAATCAACGACTTTTCTGAGCCGTTCATTGTGGTTGTGGTACTTGTCTCTATTCTAGAGACAAATCAACAGATTCGCGGTCATGCTTTGGTCTAAAGCCATAGCACCTTAAGTACAGAATTCGTTGCTCAGCCCACATTCCGCACCCGCGGGAGTGACTAGTTGGGTTGCGCTGTCAAAGCATCTTGTGATATCGTATATAATATATGTGAATATATCGAATCTCAAATAAACATCCATGATCAAATGTACGTTTTTAACGTGCTCTACAATGTGAATTCATGTGAATTTCGACGAATTTCATGGTCATTGTGCCCATCAGTGAGCGCGCCCCCTCTAACAATGGTCTCACAGGACAATTCCGTTGCATGTTTGTGATCAAGTCCTTCACCTGCAAAGTTTGGTGCAATCAGGAGATAGAGCTACTGAATAGCTATTTTTCAATAGCTACTGAATCCAAATTTTCTGGATCTAAATGGCCTACCATGGATCATGTTGGCCCAATGTTGGCATGTTGGAAATTGGTCATGACGGCATCAAGTCCTTGCAGACAATGCAGACAAAGCCAGGCGCTGTCGCCATGGATTCACACCTTGAGAAGCAGCTCAACACCACCGTAAAAAGAAACGGCACCTCGAAGTTTGAAGACTTCTCTGAAGCAATTCATGGCTGTAGGGCACTGACCAGACTGGTGATCTCCTGTGATCAGGAAACTTAACTGAAACATAAAGACATAATAAGACATAAAGCAATAAAACAAACAAAACAATGATAAACCAATGATAAAACTGATAAACATGATAAAACGAACATCACGAAGGGTGCGAAATGGTGTGAAGGCCATCCCAAAGCGATGCAAAGAGATCCGAAACGAAACCCCATCCTCCTCCCAAGCGAAGAGCTGGGAACCTCGAACTGTCAACTTCGTTGGCACAGCCACAAAGAAACGAAAGAAAAGGCATGTCCAAAGGCATGTCCAAAGGCACCTTGAGACGAAAAACATGGACTCATTTGAACTTATTTAAGAACTTATTTGAAACGATTTAAAGGGATTTGAAGCGATTTGTGATGAGGCGGGTGGACAAATTACAGCGATGACTTCCCAACATAAACGGGGGCATAAACACTTCACAAACGTGCCGGTCTTTCAGTGACTCACAGTGCTGTCACAGTGAAAACCTCCCTGCTGAGTTCTGACCTGCGCTGTTCCCACGGCCGAGCCTTGGAGAGATGTGACGTCACCAGCACAGGGAGACAGGTTGTTTAGACGAGATCTGAAAAAAAAACAAAAAAAAGAGACATCAGAACACTTATGAAGGTATGAAATCTCAGAGTTTCTTCCTTTCTTGAAATTCAAGTCAACTTTCAAGCCAAGGACAAAGAAACTGAAAAACGAATGCAGAGATTCAAGCTACGAGAACGCTGACTCCGTTACTTCGTTTCTCACTGCTCCAAATGTCTAGGGCACTGACGGCGCTTTTGGCATCCTTTTTGTCGTCTTCGATCTTCTTCTTCCAGTTGCTGTCTGTAGCTGCTAGCTTTGCCGCCCAACCAGTAGACACCTGTTGATGAGCTCACAGAGCAGAAAGCATTGGATATCGGAAGATATCGGAAGCATCCGAAACGTCGAAAGTTTCAACAACTCGGAAACGTACAGTGACTGAATGTGACTCACAGCATTGAAAATCACATGAATAAATGGAATAGACAATATAGATGAACAAATTAAACAAATGGTATCACCCACGTATCGCCCGCCCATCGCCCATGGTGCCTCTGGCAATGTCTGCATGGTGGCTGCCATTCTGGGGCAGGCATCTGCCTGACGAAGACGTCATGGTAAGGACACAGTATGTGCCAAAAACAATGTATATCAATCAATACGATATCTATATATTGTCTATGCTATTCTCATCCCAATGTGATCCAATCCGTGACCAGCAGACACATGCAGACACATAAAAGTCATCAAGAGGGAAACCATCGGAATTCAATTCAACAAATGGCGCAAAGCGTTCAGGGGCATACGCAATCTAAAGAAGTCACTAGCGGCAACGCTTTTCTGGTGTCGCACTGTGTCCACTGCAGTCGAGGGCACGACTTCAACTTACTACCAATCTGTGGTCATGCAGCACTGGTTGTTGCCAAGGTAGGTCCAGGGGCTAGAGCAAAAGTTGGAGCTGCTTTTGGTGCAGGAGGCCTTTTTGGTCGTGACACATTTGTTATTGCCGAGGTACGTCCAGTCACCATTACAAAAGTTGGAACTGCCCTCCACTTCAGTGATCCATACTTGTTGATCAGAGGTCAAACAGCACTGGTTGTTGCCAAGGTAGGTCCAGGGGCTAGAGCAAAAGTTGGAGCTTCCTTCGGTGCATTTTGCCCACTTGGAAGTGACACATTTGTTGTTGCCGAGGTACGTCCAGTCACCATTACAAAAGTTGGAACTGCCCTCCACTTCAGTGATCCATACTTGTTGATCAGAGGTCAAACAGCACTGGTTGTTGCCAAGGTAGGTCCAGGGGCTAGAGCAAAAGTTGGAGCTTCCTTCGGTGCATTTTGCCCACTTGGAAGTGACACATTTGTTGTTGCCGAGGTACGTCCAGTCACCATTACAAAAGTTGGAACTGCCCTCCACTTCAGTGATCCATACTTGTTGATCAGAGGTCAAACAGCACTGGTTGTTGCCAAGGTACTTCCAGGGGCTAGAGCAAAAGTTGGAGCTTCCTTCGGTGCATTGGGCCCACTTGGACGTGCAACAATTTCCATTTCCAAGGTATTTCCAGTCACCATCGCAGAAGTTGGAGCTTCCTGTTTTGCAAGTCATGTGATTCTTCTCACCTTCATCGCTTGTGAGAGCCAGAGCTCCCCCAACCCTTGTGGCTGTCACACATTTCATGACCAGCAGACACATAAAATTCATCAAGAAGGAAACCATCTGAATTGAAAGACAGACCGAAGTCTTGTTTCAACAAACTGCGCAAAGCTGTTCAAGGGTGAAATGCTTGAGCTAGTCAGCAGGGCTTGTCACATTCTCACATGTCATCACTCGGGGATTTTTTGCCGATTCTGACTGTGGGCCGTTTGGGTCATACGGATTTAGCTCTTCTGTGATCTTCCGTGCGGATTTTGGTGATGTCCGACCCGACTCTGAGCCTCTGAGGCCCATGACTGGTTGGGGTCCACACTTGCCTGACATCACCACATTTGACAAACTCTTTTTCATGATAAAAAAACAATGTAATGTGGATAATTGTACCTTTCACATCACCATTGAAAAGTTTTATCAAATGATGTACATTGTGTTTTATCAAACTCACCATTGTACCAGTATACACATGATGCACATTTGCCGAAGTTCCAAAAACCAAGGAACTTCAGTGAAGACTTGGTAACTTGATGTAACTTGGACCTCCGCAGTGAAACCACTGGCTGTGGTTTCTGTACCTCGTGTTGCGTGGAGCGACGTGCCGATGTGATGCCTATGTGCTGCCCTGGCTCTGGGGGCTCGGCAGGCGATGGTCTTGCGGAAGTCCACGGAGTGACAAAACGAGTCTCGCTTGGACATTTGGACCCCGGTCAACACCTCACATCTTCGTTCACAAAACCACTCATCTTCCCTCGCAACTTCCATCGCATCTTCCAATCTATGTTTCCACCACAAAGACCCGCAAGACATCGCAAGACATCGCAAGACGCACGGGTTGAGCGTGGCCTCACTGAAGGCACTGCACGTTGTTGTGTTCGGAGTTGGCATCGGCAACCTACGTCGTGCGAGGTCGTGTCGAAGGAGCAACAGTTTCGGGAAACACAAACGGATCAAAATCTGCCAATTTCTGGATCCAGAAGGATTGAAGATCAACTTGACAGGTTTTGAGAAAACACAAAGCACTCTAAGTGCAGGTGTGGTTGAAGTGCCTATGGTTCCACTTCCATTCCATTCTACAATACCATTGGGCCATTATGTTCAAATGGGGCGCCTACAACAAGGCAAGACAAATCAAAACTGAACCAGATGGAACACATATGAACAAATAAAAGCAGTTGATTTTACGTTGATTTCATTTGATTTCTATTTCACTTATTTCACAATTGATTTGATCTTTCAGCCGTCAGCTTCCCTTGCAGATGATCTTTAAAGCTTGAGTCTAACTTGCGTCTAACGCCTCCCAAAGGCATCGAAGGAGTTCACATAGTCCATGTCCAAACGCTGCGTAGCTCGTGTGAGACCTTGGCATGTCTGAAACCTGGAAACCCAGTGGAAACCCTTCCAGTTGAACCCCGTTGAAGCCGGTTGAACCCGACAACACTCGACACTTGCTGTCGAGCTTCGCTTCGTCACCTGGCAATCGAAGTGTACACCGTGTATACAATGTATCTCTGAAACAAAAAACCACAAGTATACTAAGAATATACAAAGAATTTACTAAGAATATACTAAGAATGCCAAGTATACGTATGCACAATATGTTTTGATGTGTTTCATGATGTTTCATGTACTGCAAATACATTCGATTACTTTCCACTACACGTCCTTACATGTCTATCTCTCTCTATCAATCCATCCCTATTTTTGTCCTACTTTCACCTATACTATACATACATACACTTACAGTCACTTACACACAGGTTTTTGAGCTTTCTGCAATTTCCTGCGTTGAGCACCCGAAATCACCCAGCCCCCGAGGGGTCAACCACGATCAACCAGGATCAAGCTGTCAACCTTCATTCCCTGCAGTTCCCTGCGTTTCCCATCTCATTGCCAGGTCCTTGGGTCCTTGGGCCCTTGCCTTCTTTTCCATAATGGCTGCCTTCTTCCCTTGAAGCTCCTGAGTTTCCACGTCCACCGATTTCGGCGAACACAGTGCGGCAATATTGCTGCGAAGCACTGATGCGCGTCGGATTTTCGCAACCAGTCATAAAAAGTTATCAAATGTCATCAATATGTCATAAAAAAATGAACAACTATCGGTGGCAGATCAGAGATCCCAAGCAGTCCTCGTGCAACTTTTCGTTTTGCGTCTGCGTCAACCATTGCAACTCAGAACGTAATTCGTCCACCTGCCTGGCATTCACATGTCAGGCGTTGCAAATGTGGGATGAAAAATAGTGACCGATCTACACTGAATCTACATTTTTCTATATTTTTCTTCTGACATGTATTATAGTATTGTTACAATTTGTTACAATGTCTTACATTGTATTTCGATGTCTGTTGGACAAGACCTTCCTGACTCGGCCAAGAGATTGAAGGCAAATTTGCAGCGGTGGCCATCCACTTCATCCAATATCCAAAAAGACATATCTCTGGAATTCTGAGTTCTCAAGACATCCCAAATCGGCTCGGCCACCTTCTTCGATGCTCCAAACTTTGCTGGTTCTTCAACTCCATGACGTCTCTCCTTCGAGGTGCAGAGCTGTACAAAATCTGAAAGCCTTGAAGTGAACAACGCAAGGCTGGCAAAATCACAGACTCAAATAAGCAGCAGATAGCAGCAGTATATGCAGTATGCACTTTGCTATGCTGGGCCTTTGTTGCCAAAGTCTTTTTTTGGCCTCAACCTTTTCCTTTGTCCGATCCTGCGGCCAACTGATACATGGATCACTTTCAGAATTCAGGATACAAAACCAAGATAAAGAAAACAGTTCATGTATAATCTAGATTAATCTAGTAGTCCAAGAAATCTCAAAAGAATTCAGATTTCTTGGACGAAAATCATTTCCAGTCACTTTCTCTTTGACGAAACTGGCGCCTGATGCTCCACCTTCACTTGCTGCTGATCAGCCATTCGAATTTGGCTTTCAATGGCACACCTGCTGAAGTCACTGGAACCACAGAAACCACATAGATTTTCCAACAAAATTTGATACATTACAACAACTACACACACGCGAAGCGCAAGCACCGCAGCTTCATTCTCAGTGTTTTCAAGCTTCCAAAGCTTTCAGTGTCACCAAGAGTAACCAACTCAAGGGGACATCAAAAACATTCAACCACTCGAGACCTTAATGCAGAAAATTCCATGAAAATTCCATGAATTTCCAATACGTTTTTGAAGCTCCAGAACAGTATCACGTGTTCCACTTGTTCATTGAATTGCCATTGATATCCGGGCGCGTTTTTTCTTCATTGTTTTTGACTTTGAACATCTTCGAACATCTTCTAAGGCTTTTCCAATCCCAAGCGGTTTAAACATCGAGTGTCATCGTGTGTATCACATTGCGTGGCCTTCTGTTGCAGAACGTTGCTGCCATTTGCCGCATCTCGCCACGTTGTTTTCTTGCTTCCTGAAAGCACATCATGAAACAAACATGAAACAAACACAACAACGAAGTGAAATGGTGAAGTTGTTTCATAAGTTCTGGAGCTGCTTGCTGCATATGGATGCAGTGAGCCTTGCAGTCTTTACAGCAAAGATTACTCATGGCAAATGATGGCAACTGAGACCTAGTATGACCTAGTACTGTAAATTACTCATGTCGACAAGTTAGCAGAGACAGATCTTCGGAGACGGTTGAAACATGTTGAAACATGAAACACACGAGAGAAACACATTAAAAACACATGATATGTCGGAATTCTGGGACTTCTTGAATTATAATGGGCATTACATTGGGTACAATATGGTACAATGTGTCAAGATGTGTTGACATGGCTCCGGAGTGTCAATGCGGTCCAGCAACTTTCTCTTGGAAGATCTTCTGGCGTTGTGCTTGGTATACGGCTTCCTTCTCTCGCTGCTTCTCGCTTTCTACTTCTTCTTGTAGGATTTGTAGGTCTTCGCTGCCCGTGAAGCTTGACATGAACCAAGAATCACTGAAAGCTTGGGATCGTCCCGAACGCTTCGATTGTACGGCATGTTGCATGGGAATGTCGAACCCCCAGCCATCATCCGAGTCAAAGTCCCCATCTCGTTCCAACTGCTCTCTGACTTCTTGAATGTGTTTGTTCAATTCTTCTGCCAGTTCCATTTGCCGTTCGTGCTCTTCACGTTCTGCGCGTTCAGAAGAGGTCTCTGAAACTTCATGCTCAGACCTTTTTCGGAAACAGACACCGAAAACAACATGAGGCAACGTAAAACAACATAAACCACGTGCTAGTCCGCAGTCTGTCTAATGTTCTGTTCACAAAAACATTGGGGACAACAGTGGGACAACTCAAGCATTTCCTGCTCTTGAGACTTATACATGTGTATTGCATGTGTATATATCATTGTATAATGCTATATGATGCTATATGAACGTGATATTTAAGCCATATATAGCATATTAATTTCTTTTTCTGTTCCTTTTCGAATGTGCTTTTCGCTATACTATACCAGGGACATCCAGGGACTTATATATATATATATACCCTCTGGCTATTTAACATAGCTATGGAAAATCATCATTTTTAATATGTAAACCCAGATAAACCATCTATAAATGGGCCATTTTCCATGGCTATGTTAAATAACCAGAGGGTATATCAGTTCATTTCAGTTCCTGAGTTCCAAACTTTGCGCTTTCGGTCCTTGGAGTCAGAGTCAGCACCAGACGGTGCCGCACGGGTCGCCACGGGTCGCCACGGTGCCAGTTCTGCCAGTTCTGACAGTTCTGAGCTTCGGGCTCCTCCACCAGCCACCTGCGGTTCCTATCGCCTTCAACGACCTTCAACGACCTTTAGGAACCGTGAAGGACCTTGAACGACACTTCAACGACACTTCAACGACAACGCCGATCACAAAGACTCCGACCTCTCGCATCTCTCCCAGCCTAGATTGCCTAGATTGCCTTGATTAGAATCTTCTAATCGTGTCGAGTCATATCTCATGGTTGCCAACGAAAAGCGCGCTTTCACATTGTGCATCCATAGTGCACATATCATATCAAATATCTTTAACATTCACATGATTCACTTGATTCACATGATTCGCATTGTGCAACATGATACCATGAATCAACATGAACTGACATGAATTGACATGATTTTCATTGTTTCATATTCCTTTTTTTATATAACTTATCCGTTTATCCCGTTGCTTCTCTGAGCCCTTGGTGGAGTGGGAAACCCGCGGCTTTCGCGGAGCCTTTGATCGCCGTGCCACGTCCGGTGAGCTTTGACGAGGCACTGCGTCTGACCGAAACCGCCCAAACCGCCGAAAGACCACGATTTCTCTGTGGGAAATGGCCATGATTTCTATGTGATTTCTATGTGATTTCTATGTGATTTCTATGATTTGATTGATTTCTGGTGGCGATGACTAATCAAATCAGAAAAATAAACCACTTGTGAATTGTGTATCTTCCCAATTTCATTTTCAACTTCCATTTGTTCCAAACTGCAGTCTTGAAACAGGTGAGGGATTCGAAAAAAACACAAAGTCACTGATATCTGATAGCTACAAAGAGATTTTGTTTTGCAACAATTAGGAGAGAAAGAAAGGAAACATGCGGAGGAAACTGTTTGAGACGCCTCAGCAGCACGTTCTGCACGCGTTCCATAAAACTTCAAAAGTCTCTCCTGTGGCGTCAGCCGCACTGCACGCACTGCATACGCGAAACATCGAAGCTTCCACGGCACTTCAAACCCACATCCCAAATCATCCCAAATTGAATCCACAGTCTCATCATGTCTCATCGACTCAGGTCCAGAAACGAAAATATACCAAGTTCATCTGGATCTACAGCATTGGGGGCAGCAATATATGGCAACAGATTGGCACCAAGATTGGCACCAGGTTGAACCAGGTTGAACTTCCGGTTGAACCAGGTCCTCCCATTCTCGGCTTTTCTTCAAACGTTGAGCTTCGCTGTCGTCGCCCGTGAATTTTTGGGCTCGGTTGGTTTCCTGCGGTTGGAACCGGCAATTGTCAAAAAATGTCAAATCATGTTGTCTACAGCTTTTACAGACCTCCAAATTGGTCTGTGACGATTTGGAGGCCAACACCAAACACTCTCTACAAGGCAAGCCGTGCCCTTCCTACATGTCACGAGTTGGAATCTTTGACGCTCTGTCAGACTCTGTACATCAATTCCCTAGATCAACTTTGCGATATTTTTTGGATGTTCTCTCTTTCTTTGGATCATCTCTTGAGCATCTCTTTGTTTTCTGTCTCAAAGAATGAGCTCTGTCTTTGTGCCGTAACTTGCCCGTTGTCTTGCCTTGGCTTCCAGAAGAAGCATCTTCATCGCCAGCTTGTCCGCGGCCGCGCGCTGTGCAGCGACAGAATTGACCACAGCACTCACAGCACTCACACCACTCACAGCAACAGAATGTAGCAAATGTAGCATTGCCGCGACAGAATGTAACCATTTTCTGTCCTTTGGGAACCCATAGGATCTCCCAAACATGTATGACAATGTACGAAGTGATATGAAGTGTATGAACAGAACACATCAAAACACATCAGAACATATCAAAACACCAAAGGCACGGTGTTCGGTGTCTGCATTGATTGTGGCCTTCGCCAGCAGCTTCTTGTCATTGGCTCGGTCAGGAGCAAAGGTGGCACGGTTGCCCAGGATCCAGGCCTGCAACACATGACGATGACACCAAGATGTGGAAAAAATCCTGGAAAATCCTGGAAAACCATGGAAAATCCATCAAAAAATCATGGAAAATCGTAGTGAAGTGTAGTGATGCGTCCACCTCAAATCATCTCGTAGCATGTGAAGAGATCAGAACTTATCAGGACAATTCCTGGGAGGAATTAGTAAAACAATCAGTGAGTCCAATGGCATCCAGTTGAAACCTGTTAAAACATGTTGAAACATCTGGACACACACATTCTTCCCAAGCCAAGTTCCGTGCCTCGACACTGTGAAGATCCACATCAACTGAGAATGTGGAGAAAATGTCGAGATGTCCAGAAAATGATATCCATGTGATCTGCCATGTGATCTGCTATGATGATCTATGATGATCTGCTATGTCGAGAAAGTGATCTCTCTCTCTCTCTCGTCTATTGAGTTCTCATTGAGTTCTCATTGCGTTGTCGATTCGTTTGACGGAAGTTTGCCACCTGGTAGTTTGCCGGTCTCGAGTGCTTCCAGAAGCCTGGCGGCCAACTCGCAGCTCAGCGTTATCTACACAATGTACTTGCTGTATCTCGCTATCTAATCGTTATCTAGTCGTTATCTAGTCGTTATATAGTCGTTATCTATTGATGCAATTGATCTCTTGTTATATCTTGTTATACTGTCAGTGTGTCTGCAAAGTTCTGCAAACATCTTTAGATATCAGATATCTGTAGATGCCTTTTACACACTTTACGCCTCCCCAAAGCACAGCATACAGTCGTCCCTTACACAACTTGAGTGATTCGACTGGTAATACTTGTGACATTCTGTGGCATTCCGTGATGCTCAAACGGTTTCGCTGGGGATAGCACTGTGGGACACTGACTGTTGCTAAGATTTCCTGGATCTCCTGCAGCTTTGTGGCGAAGTGTAGAAATACTTCAGTGTGCGCTGGGAAACCCACTGTTCTGACATGTTCTGACTCATACATCTCATACTGATCCTCAAATGAAGAACGATTCAAGGTGCAGCATGTGGCAATCCAAAAAACCATGGGCCAGTGGTCTCCAAGTTCTCCAAATCTCCAAACGGTCTCCTGCAGATCTTTGCGACGTTTTTTCTGTTTGAGATCTTCCAGCCTGCGATGCGACACATCAAAACCGCCTGAAAATCGCAGACTGCCAAGAAAACATGCACACACACAATATCAAACACAAACATCATTGGAATGTTGGATGTTGACTAGTGGATAACCCCCCAAAACAGTGGAAAAGGAACCAATAAAGAGGAATGCCAAAGAAAAACCTCGGCAAAAAGTATTCTAAATCTAAGTCAGAATCTAAAAAGTGTTTTAAATCATTCGAATCTACTTTTCATATCTTTTAATTCATTTTCCTTGCTGCCTTTCTTTCTACCTGTTTGAGAGTTATCGCCTCTGCAAGACTTCTTTCTTCGTTTGTTCCTTGGTCACCACTGTCCGCTTCTGATCCTCCTCGAACACGTTTTCGGAACATGTGCAAAATGTGAGGACAATTTCTGAGAAAAAACATCGGAACGCATCGGAAATTCTATGGAAAAATTGGAAAACAGAAATCAAAACAGAACTTTTCTGAGATCTCTGGGGCTCAACGGCTACATTTGAAGGCTCCTCGGCAGATTGCCACTCAGCGCGAAAGGCCACAGCCGAGCGATGCTTCGTGCCATTGACGTACACCACCTACAGGGGCATCGGTCTAGATGAGATGGGTCTAACAGTGCCGGCCATTTGGCCATTTGCTGAGTATCTATGAGTTTATGAGTATCCCATGGATATCATCGATGAATCAATTGGATTCAATTCGATCAACTCATGATTTTGATGTATAAAAATCTATAATTTAATGTACAAAATGTATCTATTTATATCTATTTGATCTATAAAAGTCATGTTTTCTATGAAAAAAAACAACATCAGCAGATGGCCAAATGTTGAAATGTCAGATTTCAGCTGCGCCTCCGAGGCCTTCGGCTCGCGCTGCCGCAGCAGGAAGAAGCCCACCTGGCCGACGTGTAAGGCCGACGTCTTCAAGCGACGCTGGTGCAGTCGGTGATGACGTGATGTCGTGATGACGACGTGTAACCGAGATTGTGACCAGATTTTTGACATTTTTCTGACTGATTCTGACTGATTGTGTCTGTTTGATGCAAATGTTTGATGCAAACATATAAAATAGGTTTTTTCTCTGTTCTGCCACTTTCTGTCTTGAAGTGCAGATGTGGCCAAGTGGCCAATGCAGGGCTGATGTTAACACGCCAGGGATAGCCTAAATTGATCTAAATTGATCTAAATTGCCCAAATGGCAAATAAAGATCAACATCAAACAAACCCGTTGCCTTGCTTCTGTGTGGCCAGTCGAGACCGTACAGCTCCTAAACTTTCTAAAGATGAGAATGGTTTACAATCAGGATTACATATTTTTCAAAAGGGCCATCAAGAAACATGGACATATATGGACATGTCTGAAATGTCTGAAATGTATGAATTCAAGTCTGCAAGAAACATCACTCGTGAATCAACGCTTGGCAGTCCCAGAGTTGCAGGATGTTGTAAGCGGTCTGCACATCGTAGAGCTGATGCCTGATGGAGCAGATTGATGCAGATTGCATCAGAAGACCTGAAGTGAAAAGGTTGACAGCTGCGCTGAAGCAACCGAGAAGTAACTCATTATACTCATTGAAGTGTATCAATTTTTGCTCCTTATTCATTCCTGCAACAGGGCCAGAACGCAGGATATGTGTTGTGATTTGTTGTGAAACAACGACTTTTGTAGTGGGAATGATTATGATGTCACTTTCCAACAAATAATCACCAACAACAGGTGTACAGGAGGCAGGTTTCTTGAAACAGGCCAGCCTGAAGTCAGTGCCCCAGGGATACATATGAATCATATGATACATATGAGACGTTACATGGATCATTGACAAATCTTACTCATTCTGAGACTCATTCTTGATCCTTTAGATCTGTCTCCATCAAAAAGATGCCGAAGCTTCGATCAAACCCGATAGATTTAGTCCAATCCTGGAAGGTATAAACCTGTATATCTGCGCAACTTGTCAGACCATGTTATTCTTATACTAAAATATAAAAACATATTTAAACATACATTATAATCGTTTTATATTCGTTTTATATTTGTATTTGTAGAACCCCCCCTTTTCCAAATACTTCGGTGAGCCTCCGGAGCAAAGGAACAGCCGCGTGCTTCTCGAAGTTGAACGTGCACAAATACAGCAACACAGCTCGTTGCTTGGCCTCGCAGCTGGCAGCTTGAAACCCCGCCGTGATAGTGTCTGACATGTCTCGTCACTTGACAGAACTCTGAAAACGAGAGATGCACACCTGAGAAGGGGGGACGAAAACCAGCCCCTAGCCGGATTTTTTTTGGTTCTGCAAAGAAATGTTGCGGTAGAGCCCGTTTTTGTCTGGCCTTCCTCAATTTTTGTTACTTCCAGCAACAAGAAGTCTTTTTAAAGCACATTATCTATCTATCTATCTATCTATCTATCTATATATATCTATAGATGACACAACTTGCCTGCATGTTCCTTTTTTGTCACACTTGTCCTTGCTTTGCAACCCTTCGCCACTCCTTCCTCCTCATCCCCTTGCAAGCTGTCTTGCTCCCAACCCCAACGGACGCTGCTCTCTGTTGAGCTTCGGTCCTTAGTTTTTTCAATATGCATGCCTCAATGTTCCTAACTTTTTCAAAGCTTTGCCTTTCCTCCATTTCATGTCTTTTTTTTTCACTTTTCCTGCGTTTTCCTACGGTTTTTCAAAAGTTTCCTTCCTGCAACTTCCTTCTCCGTGTTTTTAACGATTTTCCTTCATTTTCCTCGGTTTTCCTACCTTTTTCCTTCTGTTTTCAGGGGACCTAGGGAGAATCGAACCCCACCGTCACCAAATTGCCTAGTGGTACATGCCCCCCTGAAAAATTGATTTTGGTCCACCTGGGCAACTTCCACCCCCCACACCCCCTAAACTCACTTCGTTCGCGAAAACAACTTTGCCTAGCCTATTGGCTGGCTTTCGTAAAAACATCAAAAAGCGCCATCGAAAGGTTTGAAATGCTGGAAGAATTGAAGAATTGTATGCTTTCAAGACATTCAAGATTCAAGATCTTACACGAAAATACCGTGGAAGAAATTGAGTGCAAACATGTTCAAAATCAGCTAGTGACGCCTGCAACACACTGGAATAGCGCAGCTCAGCAAAGCGGAGGCATCCACCACCTCACATGGCTGTCAGAACGGCTTGACATTTTGGACATTTCGGATGGTGGTTTCTAGATGTTTCTAGTATATAGTTGTTCTTTTTTTAAACCGCAATTTTGGTGTCTGAATAAAAACCTCTTGCTGCTTTTTTTGGTTTGTTCCCTGCTTCAGTGACTTGGTGATTTCCATTTGGAAACACCCAAAAACTTCGTCGACTTGGTCGACCTGCCACCGGGGATGCTGACAGCCAGTAGGAAATAGTAGGAAACCAACCTAAACCAACCTATCAAATGCATTCAAATGCGATCATCAGACCATGCTTGGTTCATTGGACTGATGGATCTCAGGAACTGAAAGCCCTGATGCCAGCTGCGATGCAGCGTGTCAGCGTGGAGTAAAGCAGCATGCAGGCGAAAAAGATTCCAGAGCGGACCAATGGGGGGAAGTCATATAGGGCTGGAATAAACGTCAAACCAACATAGGTCCCCATGACGATCATTAACGGAAGGAGCAAAGTCATTGAGGCAAGCGAGTTCTTGATCACTTCCATGAGTAGACTCTTGGGCCTTACCCGTGTCACCTCGCCTACAAGGACCAACACATCCTTCAAAATCGGCATGAACAGAAGCCAAATGCTCAACCCCTCAAGCATGGCCGCTCCCGTCCATTTCACCCAGAATTGTCCTGGGTAGAACCTCTCCTCACTGGCTGCGTGGTCCATAAAGGCCCAAATTATTGGCATGAACATGGCCAGAGTCGATTTGGTGGTGAAAACTCGCTTTGCCAAGTCCCGCATCAAAATCTCCAGAATCTCGGAACGCAGCGTGTGCTCAAATGTCTCTTGGCTGCCAAACCACTGCTTCACACATTCCTTCAGAATTTTGCGGTCACAAGGGGTCCTGCGACCTCCACGACGATGACCATCGTCACAACAAGAGGCCCTTGAAGTGTCAAAGGAGACACGAAGCAGCTGCTGCTTCATGGTGTCCAAATCTCGAAAATAGCTTCGCAGAGTGCTCATGGCCACATATGAGGCCACACTAGCACACAATACAACCCCACCTGCGTTAGCAAGCATCAAGATAGGTTCAGAAACATCCATAGGCACCATGTTTATGGGAATCATGCCAGCAAAAGAGACCAGGAAGAACGAGATGTGCAGTGGACCCGACAAGGTTGGCCTGATGAGGAGTTGCTTTTTCTGATCTTTCTTGCTTTGCAAGAAAGCCGCAAGCTCGAACAAGCACCACAACCTCTCCGTCCAAGTCGGATCCCAAAGAATAAGCATCGAATCCGAATGTTTCAGCAACCCAGCTAGGCTAAAGATAGCTTCAGCTTTCAACTTCTCGTTGCTGCTGATGCAAATTCGGTCCAAGAAGATACCCTTTCGAGGCCGCCAAAAGATCATCACTAAAGTTGTGGCGATGAATCCGAACCAAAGAGACCAGCACGAGTATCCATAGGAAATACCATCCTCTTCCCTTCCACGATCCAAGCTCGGAAGGACCTCGAAGCAGTACAGTATCACTGCCACAACGGCAGAGACCATGCCAGACACTGCAGCAGCCGGGCCGTTGTATATGGTGATGAGAGTAATGATCTTATTCCATTTGCTGCCATGCCAAGAATGACTCCAAAAAGTTGATATCTTCAGGGCACCCTGACTTTTGAAATAAAAGTCAATTTCATTTTCTCGCAGGGCCAATGCTCCCTGCTGAAAAACCCGGAATGCAGGTGTGACCCTCACCACCTCTGGGTTCACGACCTCCATGTTCTCAAGGTCTTTAGCAATGTGCAGCATTAAGCGATCCAGCTCCAGTTGGATCTCTGACGCGGTGGCTTCCAAGTTTGTCTCAGAGCTATCTTCAGAGATGGAGGTGGGCAAAGGAGGCAAACTCGGGCTGGGAGGCATGGGACCCGCTGCATCGTCTGGGATGTGGGCATTTGCAGCTTGCTCCCACCTGACACTTGAGGCAATGGAGGGGTTGCTTGCAATGCTTCCAGGACTTGCCATGCTCCCGGGACTGGCTCTGGCGCTCATGCGATACAATGACAAATGTGAGAGACTGTGAGAGACTGTGAGAGACTATCGGATGGTTGTTTTTAGTTAGTAAAAAGCCAAAAAATAATTAAAAAAAGGTGGTTTGAATATGTTTGAATTTTATTTGATATTTCCGGGTGCTTTCTTGAGAGGAAAAAACCGCAGATCATCCGGCGCTGTGAGGAAGCTCTGAAGGCTTCGGCTGGAGTTTGGCCAATTAGGTGACCTTTTGCCGCAAACTGTGCCAAGCGCGATGAGAATCATGAGATTTGGGGAAGCTTCTCCAAGTGGAACCGGCATAGCAGCAGTACACTGAGATACATAACTTACATAACATTTTGCGTAATTCGATCTGAGATCCTATCTTGCTGCGATGGTCGATTCTGCCAGATCTACTTGCAAGTCCTGGGAAGTGAGCGTTTTCAAACGATGGCGCTGCAATTGAAACTGTAGTGACTGTAGTGACGCATCATCGACATCACCGGCATGACCCACGTCCAAATCCATACAGTGTATATTTTTTAACAGTCATGATTTGGAAAAAAAGACACATCCAAAGGAGTTCTATACTACTTCAGGGAAGCCGCCTGGTCAATTTATGTCAATTTGAGCATTCGAAAACATTCGGAAGTCTACTTGAAGTAGCCTTGCAAACTATGGCCGCCCCCCAAATCAACCAAGGTATAGTCTGCCGCCCCCTAATCCAACCAACTAATGTTTTTTCTATTTCGTAATCCAGTTGAACTGGTTGAAGTGGTCCCTGAAGAGCGTTGTTCTAACAGTTCCCGTTGTTCCACAGCGACTGGGACGTCCTTCTCTAAGCCACCTGGAGCTGCACAGGCCACGGCAAAGTTTTCCAGCAAAGGCGACGCCACTTCCAGAAATGATTTGTCCTACACGAACATCCTCGAACAACTTGACTCGACCCATGAACTTCACAGGACTTAGCCATCATTTCATACCATTTCATACCATTTCATACCATTTCATACCATTTCATTTCATACTAGTTAATGATATTTAATGCCATGTTTCAATATATGTCATAAGGGAGAATACAAGAGCACAAGGGGAGACCAGCCCACCAAATCAGCGCAAGAAAATGACGGGAGTCATCTCAAGCGCGTCAAATCGTCCTCTCCAAAGAAGTTGAAGGCGTCGGGTCCGCCCAATCCTTCCAGTAGCAGGCCCTGCGCAAAGCACTGGGCACTGATTCTGCAGATTCCCCTGGGGATTCCGCTGTCGATCGCAAATTCCGCCCTGCACCCTGCAACCACCGTGCAAACTCACCTGCAATCCTCGTAGGGGACGTAAACTCACGTCCGAGGGAGCCAGCTCAATGGGCGCCTCCAGTGACACTCAATATTCTGCTCATGTCTATTCAATGGTCAACATAGAGCAGTGGATTTTCAATCATCTTTCCATCATATTTTAGTTCATGAAGCATTTGATGAATGTCTTGAACGCACGTTATCTCTACATGGAGACCCTGGTTTCTTCGAACTCTTCGTGTCTTCATGTCCACTGGAGGTCTCAGAGTCAGCGTCACGGACATGTCGACACGTCGACACGTCACGGACGGGTTTCGCCTCGTCCAAAAACCACTGGGGGAAACCTTCTCGTCCGTACCTGCCGTGCGTGCGCCACTGGTGCAATTGGCGCAATGAGGTGCCGTGGCCGGTGAGCAGGTGAATGGCACTGGGGCACATCGGTGGTTTGTAGGGACTTTGACCCTGAAAAGTCAGTTCAGTGAGTTCCGTCAGTTCCGTCAGTTGAAAGTTGAACATCTTGAAGATGATTTGAAGATGATTTGAAGATGTGAAGTAAGGCATGGCAGACTTTTTATTCATTTTGTCACTCCGAACCTGAGAAAGGCCCGAATTTCTTCGACCTGGGCAGCATTGGGATCATTGGGATCCTGAAAAAATATCTTCAAATTCAACCACTTGGCATTGGCATCATCAAATCACCTCGATTCACCATGCTTTCACCATGGAATTTCCACACTTTTCTTGTTTTTCTCGTATTTTTTTTTCGTTCATCCGGAGCTGTCATCGGTCTGTCATGGGCTCCAACGGAGAGTTTGAGGCCGTCGTAGGATCACCGGAGCCTGTCCGCCGCTGATGCTGGGGATGCCTTTGGGGATGCTGGGGGGACTGAGGGGCCTCAGCAAAGCCCATGGCCAGCTGCGACTCCTGCCAGCGGAATTCTCATAGAATGTATATTAATTATATATAATACATATAATACACATATAATATACATAATATATATATATATCTTTATCTATAATATATATATAAGTATCATATCGACAATATAGATACATAAACTATATACGCTTGCATCGTTGCATTGTCAGTTACATCAGCTACATATCGTTCCCGTCACCGCTACCACAGCTATCCAGGCATTGCCAGAAGAGTCTTCACCCGACCCCGTCCGGAAGGCGTGGGTAGCGGTCCACCGTCGAAATGGTATTGAGCCCACTCAGGAGCCGCTCCTGAAGAAATGAAGAAACACCCAAAAACGAAGTTAATACATCTTAATATCTTAATAAATGGACTCTGCAGAATGAGTGACAATGAATGACAACGAATGACAATGAATCATATGTTGTTTCTCAAATTCGGCAAACGGCTCCTGTTGTACTTCACCGTCTGCGAATCACTCTGTGAATCACACTGGTCTCTTGCCGCAATGGGTAAATTATGCACATTATCATAACAATACCATAACAATATATAACATAACAAACACATTTTTCAAATATGGGAAAAGTTTCAGAATAGTTTCATGATGTTTCATGCGAGCTCATGCTATTCCAAAGTCCTCGATGTAGAGTGTGGAAGTCCGGACCTGAGAGTGGCAGACAGTGTCGCACTGCTGTGCGGCACGGCCACTGGTGTCGAGTTGTCCGAGTCAAGTCTGAGTTCTCCGCAGAGCGTGCAACGCGGACAGCACCTATGGGAAGCAAAAAAAGGCACACAGCAGTGATACATAGCAATACATAGCAATCCATAGTGACATCAATGACATCTATGTGCCAGAAAAACACGAGTGAGCTGACAGCTTCTACAGCTGACAGCTGACATGTGGGGGAAAATTGATGAAAATTGGGACAAAAACCGAAGCATTCTGCCGGACCTGCTAACAATTCAATCCTTCGCTTGAAGAGATTCCAACCTGGCCAGCTCTGTGCCATCGGGTACATCTTGAGCATCCAAGAAAGTTAGGGAGTGAAACATGTAAGACAAAAACATGTATATATATAATATAAATGTATGTATGACAAATTGTATAAACATGTATAAATTTATATGTATTGTATTTCCTCTGTACTTCTTAAGATGTCCAAAGTCCTAGGTTTCTCGAAGCCGGGAGCACGCCAGCAACGTTGGATGCACATCGCTGCCCGTCGAAAAAGCACCGCCGTCTTCAGACCTCACGGCACTACGGGGCGTGATCGGAAATCATCATTCAACATAAACATCAGATTACAACATCAACATCAGATCTACTTCGAAATCAGACTATCCTTTCTTCAGCTTCTTCAGCTGCGTGGTTTGCAGTCTCCGGTTGGGCATCTCACATTGGTTTCAAACACGATTTGACTGCTTCACAACATCATGCTTTCCTATCACTCCAAAAATGACCTGATCAGTTCCAAAAGTGCAACCGGAGCCACTGCACTTCAGAGATCTGCGGAGTGCATGTGCCCTGCCGGAAAACCAAGATGCACTCGAAAACGTAGCTGTCGTAGCTGTTACAGTATTTACAGCACTAACTTCGATGCTTGTCATGATTTGTCATGTGTATACTAAACATCACTAAACTTTAGTCTAAGCTTTAGTCACTTTAGTCTGAAGTGATATAAACTGTGTACACATCAGCAATGACAAACAGATTCTGCACCGCTTCAATATTGGCCTCCAAGATGATTGGACAACCGCGGCTGAGGCACTTTGGACCATTGCCTGCTTCCAGGCTCCAGAGGGCTCCAGAACAAAGAGAGCAGTTGAAGCAGTTGTCCACCTCTGTCCAGATGAATTTTATATATTTTATTTAATTGTCATAGTTGTCATATGGTTTTCATATCATTCTCTACCAACCTTTCGAGCTGTTCGAGCTGGGCACTTTTGACTCCACACAGTGCAACTTTCTTTGAAACCATGTTAGGCATGTCGCTGCACACGTTGAAACACGGAAACTCGGACTTCGCGTGACTTGACTATCTGGTTCTACTTTTCACTGCCGCGCCCCTTTGGGGAGCGGCTTGAAATATCTTGTGCATGGTGCCCCGTCCCTGAAAAAGCAGGGAAGAACAAAGAGCACACGAGTTGCTCCTAAGAGACGAAGTTTGCATTGCTTTGAACAAGGTCTGAAAGGTTCTGGCAACGAGAATCAAAATGGCAATAACATCTAATACATCAGATCACCAAAACTTTGAACAGGACATGAACTTCGGTTGCAGGCTTTGAAAACACAAAGCAAAGCAAACAAAGCAATGCTCATTTCTACTTCATCTCAAGCTCACGTCGCACTCACCTAGAAAGTCCCAGGTGTCGATGAAGCTTGCCAAGGAACTATACGACAACTTGTCCGATTTATATCTTTGACATTCTTTGACTATTGTTCAAGTGAGATCTTGTAAAGCAGTTCCAGCTTTCAACAGCGATGTTGTCAAAATCACTGTTAACACCTCTGACACCTGTTCACACAGTAAATACACAGCTGAAAAAAACAGTGAAAAACAGCCGTTGACACATGAACCGCTCAGAAGTTCGATTCCCGAGTTTGGCACTTCCGAAGTGAGAGACACAGGGCTCTGTGTGTTGAGAGACATAGGGCTCTGCGTGTTGCCGGTGGCCGTCGTGCTTTGTGCCACCGACGTCCTTAAGTCATTTAGATTGAAAGCATGGCGAAGGCAAAATTACAGAATCCAAGTGCCAGTCCACCGGATCACCTTAAATATCTTAAATCAAAAGTCAACTGAATACATACATATATATATATATATGATGTATACCTTGTGAGACTTCTACTTCGTGAACACAGCCTACCAGAGATTCCTAAGCTTTCGCCAAAGCTCTGGCTCTCACCAAATCCTCCATGTCCTCCACGCATCAATGGCTTGAAGGACACCGAAATGATCTCCTTCACCGATCGGCGCGGCACGGGCTGCTGCGACACCGGCAGCTGCACCACTTCCTGCCAAATCTGCCAACTTTCACACGAAACTTTCACAGCTACAGTGGCAGCTTCCATTTGCTTCAGTCCATGCGCGTCGCCTGCTCAATCCTTTTTTGGACGGTGAAAGAATTGTTTTTCTGAGAGATGTCGACGCCGTCAATGCCCCACTGTTCCAGGGTCCCACCACGGTCCCACCTCCATCTCAGCGAGAGCTCTCAAGTCTGGTCCTGACCCCAATCCGAATCCCCGTGACATGTCGTGACATGTCGTGACATGTTGTGACTTAGTGTACCATATGGTTTTCTTATGTTTTCTGGATATTTACGTTTTTTTCAAGGTTTCGACAATGCACTTAACATATCATCCCGACAGATTTCTTGCAGATCAAAAGTATCATATCTTGGAAGCAGGAAGAAAAACATCTTATTACAATTTATCACATAGAATATCATATCATTATACACAATACATATATATATATACATATCATATATATATACATATCATATATATATATATCATATATATATCATATATATATATATATATCATATATATACACACACATATATATATATATATATAAAATGAATCACACACATCTTTTTACATGGCAAATCTCCTGTGAGCCGACCCCTGGTGGTCTTCTCAAGCGGCCGCACCACCACGGGTTGGATGGTCATGGCGCAGCAAGGGATCTCCGGGCTCTCCACGATGACCTGGACAGGTGATCCATGGATCTCCATTTTTGGTCAAAACATGTGAGAAAAATGGGGAAAATGGATGGAAATGAATGGAAATGATGTGAAACCATCAAATTCAAGCAGCAAATATGTAATCATTGATGACATTGTTAAATAATCAGTAATCTGATGTAATATGTAACTTCAATGAGGTCTTAAATATGTATGACTAGAAAGTAATCATTGAAAGTAATCAGTCATATGAGTCATATATAATCATAGAATGAGGTCATAGAAGGAGGTCACAATGATCACAATGGTCTGGGGCATTTCCTGCCACGTGACTCTGGGGCGGCGCTTTGGAGACTCGACGGGCTGGCTGGGCGCAGCTCCAAAGACCTGGGTAAGGGGAGATTTGGGATTTCCGATTCAACTGATACTTTTTTATGGGTTTGTCTGAAAATAGTGTACCCCTACACCCAATGGTTAATGATCATTATCCCTACTAAATGGCTATAATTGGGGGTATACCCCATTTTCAGACATACCAAATGGTATCCCACCAATTAAACAACCGTTTGGGGTTTATTAATCCAGGGTTGACATTACCAACAACTGGACTTCCGATCTTCTCTGCACCTCAGGTGGCAAAGATTTGGAATGAAGACCCAATCGTCCTGGAAATGGACGTGAAATGGACGTGAGACGTGAAACGACGTGAACTACTGCGAATCAGGCGCACTTCAAGAAGCTTAGCCACTTTGCTTGGGAACTACATGGAACTACTTCATTACTACTTCATTTCTGATTGCTGCTTTCCTTCAGCAAATTTCAAAAAGCTGTCCTTTCCGTGAAGTGATTTCCATGCTGGGGATGTTGAAGATGGAGAGCGCCCGCTGTGCCGTCGTCTTGTCCTTGGAGCATTGCTTGGGAGCGTTTCACGCGTCGCGTTGCCGCGCAATTCGCGCGAGGGAATTGCCGTGCTGCAGCTGAGATACAGTGGTACTCAGCGAGTTGACACCCATGTTACCGATGTTAAAGGTACCTGCCATGTCCTCCACAGATTGAGATGACAAATGACGCAAAATTGTCCTCGTGATTCATTGTTCTCAAATACGAGATGAAGATTGATGAAGATTGCAGATATTGCAGGATGCAGAAGAAAACGAAGGAAGAAAACGAAGGAGGAAAAAGGAAGACACCAAGATCCACTGGGAAGATTTTCGGAGACACAAAAAAAGCGACAACGGCTCCAACCACGTCCTGGACTCTTCTTGACGTTTTCAAACTGCTCTTGACTCCTGCGTGACACACAAAGGACACATGGACACAGCATGGACACAGATGTTGCTACAATGGCATTCCTGTTGCACACTCCAGCTGTGAAGGTGCAAAGGGCGAATAAACACAAAGGTGTTTTCGAAAAATAAAGATAGGCGATAATAGGTGTCACAAAGTATGAAGTCTGTCACACTGTCTCTCTCTGGCTCCCTTGTCAGGCTGCATCCATGGAGGCACCACAGGAGTCACTGGACAAGCAGTCCTGGAATTGGATAGCTACCGGGTAGCAGTTGGAGCAGTTGGGGGAAATGGACACTGTGATTTTGTGATCACTATGGTCGGTAACCATCATAGATCGCTATGGACATGGCATAAACTCTGTATCCGACAGTCTTTTGGGATGTTCTCATCAGAGCTCTGATTCAATGCTGCAGTCGCTGCGTGAAGTTCTTGTTCTATTACCTTTACCATCCTTTACCTTCTGGCAAGTTTATGGTGAAAGTCGTGCACCTTAGAATCTGCCCCAACAGCTTCATATCCAGAACACAAACTGTGGGAATGATTTGACGTACATTGAATGTCTTTTGGATCTAGCAGAATCTAGCATTCAAAGCATTCCATCAAATTCTGCCACGCCATCTTCCATGATCTTCCCCTCACCTGGCTGCTCTTTGAGGATTTTTAGGGTTCTTTCGGCTTTCCCCGGTCCTTTTCTCGGGAGGTGCAATGGGATTCGAGTTCTTTTCCGCCCGTGCGTTGGGATAGTGACGTCTGCCAGGGCTCGCTGAGGGACTCAAAGGACCGCCACTCATGGGAGTTGTAGGTTGCCTCAAAAAGGTCAACCCTTGGCGGTCGTCTCCACAATCTGAACAGATCTGAAGAAATCTTGTGAAATGTGAAACTATGAGACATCCTGTCATTTTTGGGTTTGTTTTCCAGAAATTCAGATGACAGAAACCTTCAGAAACCTAAATCAGATGGATCTGGTGTGGGATTTTCATGGGATTTTCATGGGATTTTCATAGATTTCCAGCCCATCCTGGCCATCCACAACCGTTCCACAACCGTTGAGGCATGGGCGGCACCACTCCGGTGCTACTCACTGGATCTGGATGCGGTGACGCCGAACGGTCTCGGCCGCGCCAAGGCGATGCGATACCTGGAAAACAAAAACGAATCAACAGATACAACAAAGGCATACATGGCATACAACAAACGTGTACAGTCTATCTATCTATCTATATATCTGTATATATATGTATATATGTATATATGTATATGTAACATGTATATATATATATATGTATATGTATATGTATATGTATATGTATATATTCTATGCAGATATTTGCAATCATATATCTAATTGGGGCATTCCTGTCTGCATTTTCCATGTTCGACTAGCTGGTGTTTCAGCGGAGCAACGATCGCTACTGGCGCCAGCTGGTTCTAGTAGACCTGGAAATGCTTAACAAACTTGGGCAAAAACATGTGCAGAACCATTGTGTGAACGTGCAAGGAGCAACTCTTCACCTGACAGTGAGTGGCGAAACTGAGGGTGTGGCCCAGGCTTTGAATGTGAATTGGTGGCGGCGCCATGAGCAGTGCTGTGGGTCTACAGTCGAAATTGATAAAAGCGAAGAGATGCGAAGAGTGATGTGCTTAGACTCTTGGACTTCACAGTCTGAAACAATCCTTGGGCCAGCAACTTGCAGCCGACATTGTGGGGATATTGATAGCAATCCTCATATCTAACACACTCAGAGTACAGTCAAAATGCTATGATTTGGATGTGTCACTTCCGTTCCCCCTTTAGACACTTCTCTGGCTGCTCTCCCAAATCTCCCTCAGGGCCTTTTCGTACAGTGCCTCAACTCTCACACATAAACACTCCGATTCTTGCAACTAAAAAAACCGTCGGAAGTCGGCACATCACTTTATGATATCTTTATGATATCTTTATTGAATTTATTGATGAACAACGTCCATTTTTTCATCCTTCCATCTCCCTTACTGTCCTCGGCTGAGGGCATGACTGGCACGGACTCCATCGAGGGCAAATTCACTGACCTGCACATTTCGTTCTGCAGTGTGGCAATGCCAAAACAGGAAACGATCAAATAACATCAAATAACATGAAACAAAATCAAACGAAATCAAAGAAACATATCATGCCCTCGGTGTGACGAAACGTGACGAAACCCTCAACAGTCCCATGTGAGATCAGGAGACTGCTACACCTGGAGAAGGAATGAAGCGCATAGCAAAGCTCCAAAGCGACCTGCACCGAGCCGTGACGACAAGCTCTAAACTTCTGGTGACGAAGTCCCGACTTTGGACTATCTGACTATCAATCTCAAATCAATATAATCAATCCCAAAGTGATAATGTCAGACCTACACTGCTCCTTCTGAATTTTGGTTTGTCCACTTGACAACGATAGACATCCCTTGACATCCCTTGACCAGTATGAGAGCAACACTTTTTCTAACTTTTAACTTGTATACATCGGTTTGCAAAGCTTTCCGGAACCTTCGCAGTGGGCATCTGCTGTTTCAAAATCCGTTGGGAAAGCCTGCAGCAGTTGTTTCAAAATCGAGGCCCTCGAGGCAACTCTACGGATCCAACGGGCAGTGGCAACGCATCTTTTTAGGCCACGCAGGCTGCGTCAGAAAACAGCGCAGCAATGCAGCATGGGCCTTGGGTCCCAGTGCTGGGCAGCCAGTTTGTACAGCTAAGACACTACATTCACTACATTCACTAGATTCACTACATTCGCCAGACTTGAGTATTCCATAAAGTAGTTTGTCTCAAGGGACTGCCACTGAAATTTGTATGTTTGCTGCCATGATCAGGCACAATGTCTCAGCTGCGCGGAGCAATGGCCAAACTCGGGACCGCCTTTTTCGATTTTTTCCAACGGCTTTTTGGTTCCGATGTTTTCACCCTTTTTCAATATATTTTCAATATAGTTTCAAGATATTTTCACTTTCTATTCGCTCCAAGCTGTGCTCCAAGCTTTCGATCTAAGTCACTAATTGCACACCGCGCTCTTCTGTGGATCACTGGAGAGGGCGCAGACCTTCTCCTTGAGGCAGGCGGCTTTGTCTGATCCGCAGCTGCCTCGGAGCACATCCAGCTGATGCTGACGTGCTGACGCCACAAACGACGCGCAGAACGAGGTGCTGACCGCAGTCTTTCCAAGTTCCGTCGTGAACGCAAAAGGCCTGCGAACAACATGTACCACAGAGCCACAGAACTCATACAACGCGCATGCAAAACATTGCACAATTCTGCCACAAACACTTAAAAACAAATTAAATCTATGTAAGTTCTAAAGAGAAGTGGAAGTAAACACCAAAATAACCCTCCAAGAATGCTCCACCCGACAGCAGGCCTACAACCGGATGTTTTTATGAACAATTCTTCCGCGCCTCATTAGCGACCCACACAGTGCAACACGTCTGCACAAACAAGTCTGAAGCCTTCTGGACAGATGCCTTCACAACGGGAACGAAAAAACATGGAAAACTCATGGCTTGACTGAAAAAAACAGCTCACCAAAGCACCAAAGACCCAGCCTTGAGCAGCTTGTCTCCATCTTTCTTCACACAGTCATCCAAGTCCTCCAAAACACATCGCTGGGAAGCTACATGGCAGCTACATGTGGCCAGATCGAAGAAACCAAGATCAAATAAGATCAACATGATCAATCACAGATTTTCCAATGAGGAGCACTAAATATCACTAAATGCTCATGTGACACGTGTCAATTCATGTATACTCATGACATCTCATGACAATGATCACACGTCAATGATCATTGATGATCATGCACCCTGTCGTTGCGACTGGAAACCCGTTTTGACTTTGGCGCGAAGACTTCGGCGCTTTGTCGGAAATCTTTCAGCTCAGACAGGCTCAACAAGTAGCGTGCATCGCCATCCAGCTGATGCTCACCTGGAACGGTTTGCTTCGTGGCGAACCTTAACGAAGCTTCGTAACGGGTCAAACCGTCGACACACCCCAGGCCTCGCTCTGCTTCGCTACCAAGAACTCGAATGGAGAGCTTCTTGCGAAGAGAGCCTGCGCTGTACACAGCAGTTGCTGAGCTGTTTGCTACTGTTAGCTATGACCTTAGCACGACAGCACTACGTATAGCTATACGTATAACTATACGTATAGCCAATACGTATAGCTACGTTAGGACAGTTAGGTCGGACGGGGGTCTGATCTCATCTCTGCAGAATCTCTGCAGAATCTCTGCATCGCACCTCCTGCGGCCAAGTAGGACTTGAAGAATTCCTGGATCTCCGGTTGGGTCAAGGTGGAGAACTCAGCTGCCAAACCTGAAACGTGACCGTGTGAGCCACTGCCGACAGGGCATCTGTTGGCCTTGAAAGCAACCTTTGAATCACATCGAATCACAATATCAAATCATCAGATCATATCAGATCATATCAGATCATCAAAGGAAGTTTAGGGGGAGAAACTTCCGTGTTACGGACTTTTAGAATGTCAGGGAAAGAGTTAGTCAAAGAAACAGTTAGTCAAAGAAACAGTTAGTCAAAGAAAGAGTTAGTCAAAGAAAGAGTTAGTCAAAGAAACAGTTAGTCAAAGAAACAGTTAGTCAAAGAAAGAGTTAGTCAAAGAAAGAGTTAGTCAAAGAAACAGTTAGTCAGTTAGTCAAAGAAACAGTTTAGTTCAAAGAAAGAGTTAGTCAAAGAAACAGGTCAAAGAAAGAGTTAGTCAAAGAAACAGTTAGTCAAAGAAAGAGTTAGTCAAAGAAACAGTTAGTCAAAGAAACAGTTAGTCAAAGAAACAGTTAGTCAAAGAAACAGTTAGTCAAAGAAAGAGTTAGTCAAAGAAACAGTTAGTCAAAGAAACAGTTAGTCAAAGAAACTGTTAGTCAAAGAAAGAGTTAGTCAAAGAAACAGTTAGTCAAAGAAACAGTCAGTCAAAGCAACAGTTAGTCAAAGAAACAGTTAGTTAAAGAAAGAGTTAGTCAAAGAAAGAGTTAGTCAAAGAAACAGTTCGTCAAAGAAAGAGTTAGTCAAAGAAACAGTTAGTCAAAGAAACAGTTAGTCAAAGAAAGAGTTAGTCAAAGAAAGAGTTAGTCAAAGAAACAGTTAGTCAAAGAAAGAGTTAGTCAAAGAAACAGTTAGTCAAAGAAACAGTTAATAAGCAAAGAAACAGTTAGTCAAAGAAACAGTTAGTCAAAGAAACAGTTAGTAGTCAAAGAAACAGTTAGTCAAAGAAAGAGTTAGTCAAAGAAACAGTTAGTCAAAGAAACAGTTAGTCAAAGAAAGATAGTAAAAGAAGAGTCAGTCAAAGCAACAGTTAGTCAAAGAAACAGTTAGTTAAAGAAAGAGTTAGTCAAAGAAAGAGTTAGTCAAAGAAACAGTTAGTCAAAGAAAGAGTTAGTCAAAGAAACAGTTAGTCAAAGAAACAGTTAGTCAAAGAAAGAGTTAGTCAAAGAAACAGTTAGTCAAAGAAACAGTTAGTCAAAGAAACAGTTAGTCAAAGAAAGAGTTAGTCAAAGAAACAGTTTTTTTAAGTCAAAGAAAGAGTTAGTCAAAGAAAGAGTTAGTCAAAGAAACAGTTAGTCAGGGAAAGAGTTAGTCAAAGAAAGAGTTAGTCAAGGAAAGAGTTAGTCAAAGAAAGAGTTAGTCAAAGAAAGAGTTAGTCAAAGAAACAGTTAGTCAGGGAAAGAGTTAGTCAAAGAAAGAGTTAGTCAAAGAAACAGTTAGTCAGGGAAAGAGTTAGTCAAAGAAAGAGTGAGTCAAAGAAACAGTTAGTCAGGGAAAGAGTTAGTCAAAGAAAGAGTTAGTCAAAGAAACAGTTAGTCAGGGAAAGAGTTAGTCAAAGAAAGAGTTAGTCAAAGAAAGAGTTAGTCAAAGAAACAGTTAGTCAAAGAAACAGTTAGTCAAAGAAAGAGTTAGTAAAAGAAAGAGTCAGTCAAAGCAACAGTTAGTCAAAGAAACAGTTAGTTAAAGAAAGAGTTAGTCAAAGAAAGAGTTAGTCAAAGAAACAGTTAGTCAGGGAAAGAGTTAGTCAAAGAAAGAGTTAGTGAGGGAAAGAGTTAGTCAAAGAAAGAGTTAGTGAGGGAAAGAGTCAGTCAAAGAAAGAGTTAGTGAGGGAAAGAGTTAGTCAAAGAAACAGTTAGTCAGGGAAAGAGTTAGTCAAAGAAAGAGTTAGTGAGGGAAAGAGTTAGTCAGGGCATTGTGATTTGCAACTGTAGGATCGTTCCCGCAATGTAAATGGGATTGCAAGTGGTGCTGGTGGAGGAGTTGCCGATGGAGTTTTGAAGGAAGTCTCGCACGAAATGCGTTTTTGAGAGATAGCAGATGCACGAAAGCCTATGTTTTTCCATACAAAGTGTGTCCACGAACCTCGATGATCTACCTCTGCTGTGCGACGGGTGCGAGACGGTCTCGTGTGTGGTCGGATCATGCTCGGATCATGTTCGGATCATGGGCGGATCATGGTCGGATCGGTTCCGCATTGTAAATGGGGTGTCAACTGTTTTTCGTGCATGTGTGGTCGACAGAATTCCATTGTGATTTGCAACTGTCGGATCGTTCCCGCATTGTAAATGG